CTGTCCGCGGTGCTGACAGGGCGCTCGCTTGCCCTCTCCCTGCCCGGGAAACTGAGGCCCAGAACGCTGTCAGGGAACCCACCCCGGACCAGATGTCGGGGGCACGGCGCCACCACCCCCTCATCTCCAGTAGTATTCCCGGCTCCCCTGTCAGGGCCCCTCTCCGTCACCCAGCCCGCGCCCCATCTCTGGTCGGATGACAACCTGGTGCCTTCCTGCTTCCCTCTGCCCACCCCCAAGCTCCGAGTTGGGGCGGGGGGGACACCCCTGGTTCTGCCCCCAGCGTCTAACACAGTGGATGGTCAGTGGAAAAGGGCGGACCCTTTTCCCGAGGCCCGAAGAGACACCTAGGTCATGCTCGGAAGACTCGAAGGCACTCCGAGTGACCCTGTTGTGTGCTGAGCCAGATGCCGGCTTGGGGGGGCGGGGGGGGGCGGTCTCAGGGTGAGGGTGGGGATAAGCGAGGCCCATGGTTCAACTTTCCCCTTGAGAGCCCAGCAGCGGCAGGGAGCACAGAGGAGCCCAGGGAGTGCCCTCCCCACTAGACCTGGCCTCTGTACACTGAGGGGTCTCTTTCATTCCCCCAAGACTGGGCTTGGGGTCCCGGGGTGCCGTGGGGGTTCCCGAGGATCCGTGGTTCTCAGATTTCCAGTGATGCCTGGATATGGCTCAAGAATTTAAAGGGTCAGGAATATTTGGGGACAAGGGGCAGGGTGTGTCAGAGACGTGAGACTCCAGACGCTTAGGGACAAGGGCGTCTTGCCTTGGAGTCTCAGTCCCTGTGCCCTCAGCCTTCCGGTCCCCAAGGAGGGGGAGCCCAGGGCTGGTCAGGCTCACAAGTGACTCAAGCAGTTGCTCCCTGGCTTGAGCCTCAGTGTCCTCCTACGTCCAAGGACACGGCTGGGCATCAGACGGGCTGAGAGCGGCCGCATCGGAGACGGGGTGGGGGAGGCAGGCAAGGGTTCTCCAGCCCACCTCTCAGTCAGCAAAACCGGAAACTAAGGCCAAAGAGAGAGATGTCCAAGGTCACACTGAAGCTGGGGCCCCAGGCTCCGTCCTCTCCGCGCCCCCATTCCAGCTCTGGCCGGTCCGCCCTGCTCTCCACGATCCGCTCAGCCCCGGGACTCCTCGCGGGACGGCTCCGGCCGCGCTCCAAGCCCATGCCGCCTGACAGGGCCTTGACCTCTCAGCTCCAGGAACTGTACACACTGTTCCTTCAGCCTGGAATGCCTGTCCCCTCCTTGCTTCCATAGCCAACTCTTACTCATCCTGAAAAGGCCAAGCACTGGTGTCCTCTTGTGCAGCCTTCCCAGCTTCCAGAAAGAGCCCCTTGGCCCACTGCACCCCCTTCTCAAGGCCCACAGGCTGGGGACTGCCCCCCGGGACCTCCTGCGTAGACCCAACAGAAGACAACGTGGCGCGCGTGCTCTGGGCTGCCCGCCTTGCACCTGCCCTCACAGAGGCTGCAGCCACCTCCTCATTTTGCCGAGGGGAGAAACGAGGTTCTCCATGCCCCCTGCCCCAGCCAGGAAGGACAGAGGCAGGCCCCCCAAACCACAGCTCCTGGCGCAGAACCCCCCCCCCCCCGGGCATGCATGTGCCCGAGGCAGTAAGGACTGGGCGCAGCTGCAAAGTGCTGGCTCTGTGGCCCCACGGAGACCGAGGCAGCTGGGGCCCAGGCTTCTCCCTGCCCTGGCTTACCTTCTGGGAGGGTGGAAGAGCGTGATGGGACACGGAGACAGAGGCTGCGAGAGACCAAGCGACACGCGGGTGGACAGGGGTCACGCCAGACACCCATGAGGGGTTCTGCCAGGCGGGAGACGGGGGGAAGCGCCAGGGTCCTCAGTGCCTCTCAGCATGCCCGCCCATGCCCCACGCCCACCCCTTCGTGCCAGCCAGCACCCCGCTGGCAGGGGGTTGGGAGTGCAGCCTGGATCCTGAGCCCTGCCCCGCCCTCACCCATCTGCACAAGGCCTGGATCCGTCGGAGGCGCTGGCCTCTCCCTTGCGCCCCCCCCGCCCCCCAATTCTGATGTAACATCCAAGACCGCATGCTTTTTTTACTCTCAAATTCTCCGGATCTGGGCGCCGGAGGTTCTTGGCCGCTTTACCCCAGAAGGGGGGACACAGGGTCCTCGTCCTCGGGGTGCCCCCTTCCCTCCGAGGGCGTTCACCCCCCCCCCTGCACACCCAGTCCCTGAGCCCGCTCGGAGGCCCGACGTCCGGCGGCCGCCGCTCGTCCCCGCCCCGGGGCCGCCATTGGCTGTTGCCATGGCACCAGCCCGTCTTCCTGCGCCGCCATTGGCCGCCGCGCCCGCGCCCCGCGCCCCGCGCCCGCCCCCGCGCGCGGTGGTCTCGCCCAGCTCCGCGAGCCGCGGCGCCGCCTGGCCAGGCCGGGACCCGGCTTTGTCCGCCCCGGAGGCCTCCGCCCGCGCCGCCGAGACCCCGCAGCCCCCGCCCCGCGGCGCCCCGCAGCCCCGGCCCGGCCCAGCCCGTGAGCTACAGTAAGCGGCGCGCTTCCCTGGGTGGAGGGCAGGGGGCGCGTCCTCCACCCCGGCTGGGGGTCTCCATCCCCGCCGCCGCTGCACCTGTCGGCGCGCACCCCGTTTCTCCAGGGTGGAGCCGGAAAGGGACGCTGAGAGGCGGGCGGGCCCCTGCGTCGCCGCCGCCCGGCCCGCGCGCACACCCGCCCGCAGGGCTCGGCACTGGGACCTCCGGCCGTGGCAGGCCCGCCGTGGCCTGGGAGGCAGTGCCCCGCCTCGCTGGCCACGTTTCCTGCTCTGTAAAGTGGGGTTTGAAGGAAGGGCCCCTTTGGGCCACATCTATGCCGTCCTCCCCTGACGTTCGGCCACTCGCTGCTCTACAGGGGACCTGCCAGCTACTGGTGCTTTCCCTTCTGCAACGGAGAGCTCTCAGGGAGGCTCCCAGGAGTCCCCCCACACAGCCTGGGGTGAAGGGCAGGCAGGAGGGCTTCCTGGAGGAAGCTGCACCTTGAAGGACGGCAGGAGTCGGGAAAGGTGCTCCAGGCAGAAAGCTGCATGTGAAGAAGCCGGGGGAAGAACACTGCAGTGTGGCCGCCAGGTGTCAGCGAGGCAGGGTGGATGCGGGGGAACTGGCTCTTATTTTGAGGGCACGGGGGAGCCATGGGAAGTACTGGAGTGAGGGAGGGATGGAATCCAACCCGTGACTCTCAGAGCTTCCTTCCGGCTTTCCACGAGTGGACTGTGGGAGGCCAGCGAGGCTGCCCTGATGGGAGGGCTGTGGGGAGCTGGGAGAGAGAGCGTCCAGCTGAGCAAAGCTTGAGGGGCGGGCGGGAGTGTGGAGTTGGGGAGCTCGGGCTGGAATGAGGAGTCTGGTGGGTGGCCCTGCCGCCAAGCTCAGTCTGATGAGGATGCAGCAGTGACCACCAGATGGGGGGGGGGTGAAGGTGTCCCAGGCTCAGCCCAGGAGGGAAACCGGGTGTGTGGGGGGGGGAGCAGCCCTGGGTGGGGCTCCAGGAGGGGCCTGGGCTTAGGGAGCACGACGGACACGCAGGAGTGTCCTGCGTCCCCTCGCGCTTCCCCTGGCTGTGCTCGGCGTGGCAGCCAGACCCCAGGAATCTTGCCGCAACCCCAGGCCTGAGTCCCCACTGGGGTTCCCGGCTGGGCCTTGGGCAGGATCAATATTGGGGCGGGAGGCACAGGCTGCGGCCTTCCCTACCCGACACGTTTTCTCCCATGTGACTGTCCCGTCGCCCCTCCCTCACGTCGACCTGCAGGACCACGTTCTCCTCCCTCCGGTGGGCAAGGCGAGGCCCGCAGCGGCCAGAACTGGACTCCTGAGTCCTTCCTGTGTCAGGTCCCCATCATGCCTTGCCTGTCACCCACGCCTCAGCTTCCTTCTCTGGGCACAGCCCAGTGGCGGTCCCTGAGGCCCGGGGCTACGGCCGCAAGTCGGATGCCGGACAGGCATACAGTAGCCCCCCCCCCCCCCCCTGTCTCCCACTCACTCCAGACACAGGTGCCCGTGCTGATCCCAGGCGGGGTGGGGTGGGGAGGGGCAGGGAGATGACACGGAGTGACCGGGCACGTGAATGACTACGTGGCCAGGGTGGAGGGTGGGGGAGGGGGGCAAGTGCCTCCATGTGGGCTGGGGAGGGCGGGCTGATTTGGGGAGGGGGCTCGGGGAAGTAGGTGGAGGAGAGGATGGGTTGCCATTGGTGCGCCTCAGACAAAGGCGGAGGGGGGGGGGCGTGCTGATGGGAAGGGAACAAAGAGGGAAGGGGGTGGGGAGGGGGTGGGACGGCTCGGGGAGGGCCAAGCCCAGAGAGGAGGAGCTGCCAGCGGCCGGACAGAGGAGGCTGGGCCAGAGCGAGGACAGCCACACACAAAGAAGTGGGTGGCGGGGCGAAAGCCCAGGAGACGGGGCATGGGGCTCCGGGGACCCCAGGGGCGGGTGCAGGGCTGACGGGAGAGGAGCCGGGCCCGGCAGGTTGGTGGAGGGGGCGTGGGGGTGGCGCGGCACTCAGCTGCTAGACGCCCAGGGTGACCGCGCTGGGCTGGGGTCGGCCTGTCGGGCTGCCCAGCTCCGGGGGCCCCCCCAGCAGCCTGGGCCTCGCTCTCTGAGCTGTGTTAGGGGGCTGGGCCGGCTGCGGCTCTGTGGGGGAGGACCCTGGCTGCCCATCTGTCTGCCCAGCTGTCCGCTCGTGTGTCTGGGACCCCGGCAGCGAGGGTGGACACGTACCCGTGGGCGCTGGGGGGCCGTGTGTCTGCACATCCAGCCCGCGGCTCTGGCCCCCTGCCTCCCGTCACCCCTGCCCAAGCCTGCCGGTCCATCCGCCATGCCGCATGTCCTCTGTGCTGCCGTCATGCTGCCTGCAGCGGTCCACACCTGGCTCTCCTGCTGGGCCTCATCCCTAAGATCAGATGGGGGAGGGCTGGGACTTAGGTCGGGGGACTTCACCCTCCCTAGACCCCTGGGTGAACCTCTGACCTGTGGCCCCAGGCGCTGCAGGAGCTGAAGATGACGAGCTCCGTGGCACCCTACGAGCAGCTGGTGCGGCAGGTGGAGGCCTTGAAGGCCGAGAACAGCCACCTGAGGCAGGAGCTTCGAGACAACTCGAGCCACCTGTCCAAGCTAGAGACGGAGACATCCGGCATGAAGGTGAGGGTGGGGCTGGGCGGGGGCCTCGGGCTGCGGTTACAGGGACGACCACCAGGGTGCTGGACCCAGAGACCCGCAGGCCAGGCCCGGGGCACACCCCCTAGCGGGGGTGGACCCGGACAGCCACACTCCCGCCCCCACCGCAGGAGGTCCTGAAGCACTTACAAGGCAAGCTGGAGCAGGAGGCCGGGGTGCTGGTGTCCTTGGGGCAGACTGAGGTGCTGGAGCAGCTGAAAGGTGAGGGGAGGGGCCTCCGAGGGAGCTGGGAGGAGGAGGGGCAGGAAGGGGCACTGACCTTGCCCTCTCCCTCCGTGCCCACCTAGCCCTGCAGATGGACATCACCAGCCTGTACAACCTCAAGTTCCAGCCCCCGGCCCTCGGCCCTGAGCCCACTGGCCGGACCCCCGACGGGAGTCCAGTACACGGCTCTGGGCCCTCGAAGGACAGCTTTGGGGAGCTGAGCCGGGCGACCATCCGGCTGCTGGAGGAACTGGACCGGGAAAGGTGAGATGGCAAGTGTCCGGAAGCGGCCCCCAGAGACTGTCACGTAGCTCCGCTCCCCCCCCCCCCACGCACCTCTGCCCTGGCCGGTGTTCCACCCACCTCCAGGGCCGGCCCTGCCCTCGCCCGCCCGCGCCCGCATGCGCTGCACAGCCCGAGGGGACCTCAGCCGGAGGACAAAGAGGAAGGAGGAGTTCCTGGCCAAGGGCAGGGCTCCCGGGAGACGGCCCCAGGGCCCCCAGCACTCAGGCTTCCTGAGGGACGGGGCTGTGTCTATTGCCAGGGTCGGGACTGGAGCCAGAAGGGCTCAACGCGGCCTTTGTGCGGAGAGGGCTGTGGCCCGAGGCCAGCAGAGGCAAGCAGGGTGTGGGTTGTGTGGGGTCGGATGGGGCGACTTGGAGGGGCGCCTGGGGGCTCCGTCGGTTACGCGTCCGACCTTGGCTCAGGGCATGATCTCACGGTTCGTGGGTTCGAGCCCCGCGTCGGGCTCTGTGCTGACAGCTCAGAGGCTGGAGCTGCTTCGGGTTCTGTGTCTCCCTCTCTCTCTGCCCCTCCGCCGCTCCTGCTCAGTCTCTGTCTCAAAAATAAATAAACTATAAAAAAAAAAATTTTAAAAGAGCGGCTTGGAGTTAAGTCCACGCTGTGGTGTAGGACCTAACCCCTCCCAGCCCCAGACTTTTGCCATGTAATTATATGTAACATGGGAAAAATTATCTAAAGTCGATAAATATTTATTCAAAAAAAGAAAAAAAGGACCCCGGGCCTAAACGCGGAGCTCCGTAAAAGGCAAATGGCAGCGCCTCCCCACGAGGTTGAGGGCGCCTGCTGCGCCCGGAGCAGGTCTCCGCGGGCTAGAGGGGGTTCAGCGAGTGCTGATCAGGGTCCTTCTCCGGGGACCGCGACTTACAAAGCCGAAGTGACTGTCTGCACCCCGCCCCAGTCCCGGGAGCACCAAGGTGTTAACCTGGCACACGCAGGACGGCTGCCGCCCTGCGAGCCCGCGCCCACCGACTGCCCCTCCGCAGGTGCTTCCTGCTGAACGAGATCGAGAAGGAGGAGAAGGAGAAGCTCTGGTATTACTCACAGCTGCAGGGCCTGTCCAAGCGCCTGGACGAGCTCCCGCACGTGGAGACGGTGAGCGGGCGGCGGCGGGCGGCGCGGGGGGCGGCGCGGGGCAAGGCTCGGCCCGGGCGCCCCTCACCGCGGCCCGCCCGCCCCTCCCAGCAGTTCTCGATGCAGATGGACCTGATCCGGCAGCAGCTGGAGTTCGAGGCCCAGCACATCCGCTCGCTGATGGAGGAGCGCTTCGGCACCTCGGACGAGATGGTGCAGCGCGCGCAGGTGAGGCGGCGCGCGGGGCGGGGCGCTGCGGTGTCCGGGGAGGCGCGCGCCGGTGGGCGGGGCGCGGGGACTGCTGTGGGCGGGGCCGGGCCGGGGGGCGGGGCCAGGGGCTAGAGCCCTTTGTGGGTGGCGAAGGGCGGGCCCGGGCTCCGAGGGCAGAGTCCGAGAACCGTGAGGGCAGGGGGTGGTCAGTGGGCAAAACCGAGTAAGGGCAAGCCTTGAGCGTCGGTCCGTGGGCCGGACCAGAGCAGGGAGTGGGCGGGTCCGGAAGGATGGGGCCGAGCAAGGAGTGGGTGGAGCCAGGGTCTGGGGCGGGGCCCGCCTGTGGGCGGAGTCAGATATCGCGGCGGGGCTCAGAGTGGGCGGGGCCATATGGAGGAATTGGGGTGGGGCCAGGGAGGGGCAGAAGCGGCCCTAAGTGCCGCTTAGGGGGTGGGGTCACGTTGGAGGGGGCGGAGTCAGATCCGGGCGTGGGGTCCGCCCCAGCGTGCATCTTTCTCTTGGCTCAGATCCGCGCTTCTCGCTTGGAGCAAATCGATCAGGAACTGATGTCGGCACAGGACCGGGTGCAACAGACCGAGCCCCAGGTACTGGGAGGGGGGGAGCCAGGGCACCGGGGTGCTGACGGGTCCAGGCAGTGGAGAGACCGCTAGGGCTCTGCCCAGGGTGCAGCAATGGGCCTGCAGCCGCCACCCACATCGTCGTGGGGGTGTGGCCGGCATTAGCAGTCTGTGCGCTTTGTGGGGTGCTCCCCACCAGAGCCCCCAGGCCTGGCGTCCTCCGCACAGGCCCTGCTGGCGGTGAAGTCGGTGCCGGTGGACGAGGATCCAGAGACTGAGGTCCCCACGCACCCTGAGGATGGCGTCCCTCAGCCAGGCAACAGCAAGGTGAAGGGGCATCCGGGTTTGTGGGGCATCGATGAGGCGGATGGGTTGAGAGGCAAAGGGTGCAGGGGGCCGGCTGGGTTGGGGTGCATGGTGGCGTGGGTCCTGCCTCTGTCAGATGTGGGGGACCTTCCCTCCCCTGTCTCCGAAAAGCGCCCCCAGGTGTGGAAGGGCCGCCTGGGTTGGGTGTGTGGCGAGGCTGGCAGGGCCAGCGCGTGGGCGGGGCCCGCTGTCCTGTGTGTTGGGAGGGCACGGGAGTAGCAGACTTGGTCCTCATGAGCTGGGGGCATCTCCGGTACCCTCCCCGGGTGTGCGCATTGGCCCCCAGGAAGGAGCAGGGTGAGGGTGTCGGGGTGAGCGAGCCATGTCCTGGGCTGGGGTCACAAGACTCTCAAGGTGTCTGGGCAGCTCACCAGGGGTTCAGGGACTGCCCCTGGCGGGGGGGGGGGGCAGGTGAGCGGGGCGCGGTTCGCCACCCACCTCCCGTGACCCCGGCCCCCGTAGGTTGAGGTGGTCTTCTGGCTGCTGTCCATGCTGGCAACGCGGGACCAAGAGGACACGGCGCGCACCCTGCTGGCGATGTCCAGCTCGCCGGAGAGCTGCGTGGCCATGCGCCGCTCGGGGTGCCTGCCGCTGCTGCTGCAGATCCTGCACGGCACCGAGGCTGGCGCCGGGGGTCGCAGCGGAGCCCCCGGGGCGCCGGGAGCCAAGGACGCACGCATGCGCGCCAACGCGGCGCTGCACAACATTGTCTTCTCGCAGCCCGACCAGGGCCTGGCGCGCAAGGAGATGCGCGTCCTGCACGTGCTGGAGCAGATCCGGGCCTACTGCGAGACCTGCTGGGACTGGCTGCGGGCGGGCGGCGGCGCCGAGGCGGCCGGTGAGTGGCGGGGCCGCCGCGGCTGCTGCGCCCTCTGGACCCTGTGCGGCCTGAGGCCCGTGGGGACGTTGTCTTGGCGGACGGGGACCGCGGTGGCCACCGACACGTGATGACGTGTGGTAGATGCTCAGGAAACAGCCACTGAATGCAGGCACAGGTCGCGGGTGACCCTTGAAAACCGGGCGCAGCGTGTGAGGTTCCCAGTTTTTGCAGCTGATGGCAGTCACTTTATGACAAAAGCGCCGGGTGTTACCTGACCCGCCCGGGCGGTCCTGGCAGAGGCTGGTGAAGCGGACCCACCCCTCTGCGAGCCCAGCATGCAGTGCGGCCGTTGGAAAAGCCCCGGGGTCTCCGCAGGGATGCGGAAGGCAGGGAGGGGCGGGCACCCACCGGGGGTGGGAGGGCGCTGACCTGGCCCCCTGGCCCACAGCTCCCGGCCCCATTGAGCCCCAGATCTGCCAGGCCACCTGTGCCGTGATGAAGCTGTCTTTTGATGAGGAATACCGCCGAGCCATGAACGAGCTGGGTGAGTGCCCCTCGTCTCCCGCAGGAGTTTACGTGTGTGCGCGCGTGTGTGTGTGCGTGCGCGCATGTGCTCATTCCGCCCAGGGCAGGGCTTTAGCCCCGAGGAGAACAGGGAGCGACTGGGAATCCAAGGGCCAAGAAGAGAGATCCAGCCTCAGCCTAACGTGAGGAATCAGAGCCGCCAGGTAGTCTGGCGCGGGGAGCACACCCCGGCAGCCTTTCTGGGGGGCTTTGGCACCGGCGGGTTCTTTCCCAGTGTGCACACCTTGACACACTCCTGCGCCCTGTGGCCGGATTTACAAAGCAAGACACGCAAAAATAGGCAGGCAGCAACCCATATAGACCCCTCCCCACCCCCGGTCGGGAAACAGCCTGTGTCCAGCTGTAAGGAGTCGGTCACGGGCGTCTTCTCCACTGTGTACGTTCTCGGGTCGTCGCGGGAAAGCAGGGGAGGTGGTATGGCCTTTGCTCTACAGAAGGCACCTGCACACACGTGCCTGGAATGCAGTGTGGACAGGATGGATGCAGTGTGGACAGGATGGATGCAGTGTGGACAGGATGCAGTGTGGACAGGATGGATGGAGTGTGGACAGGATGGAGTGCCCCTGGCAGGCAGGAAACGCGGATTTGTTTGCATTGTGTCTCCTCCTGACCGTGAACGTCTGTACTATGAACGGGTGGAATTTCGTATAAAACTGGTTCTCGAAGCCTGGCCCCGGGACCCCTGGGGGTTCCAGAGATCCTTCTCTGAGGTCCACAGCGTCGCAATTGTTTTGCCTTTTCCACCCCCATTTTCTGTCGTGCATGTGTGTGTTCGCTGGGTTTTTCCAGATGTTCTGGGGACCGCTGGGCTGTACATGTTGGGGTTTAAAAGGCTTCTTCTTTTTATGTTTTAAAAACTTTTTAAATGTTTATTTTTGAGAGAGACAATGAGCAGGGGAGGGTCAGAGAGAGAGGGAGACACAGAATCAGAAGCAGCTGCAGGCTCCAAGCTGTCAGCACAGAGCCCGACGCAGGGCTTGAACTCTCAAACCGTGAGATCATGAGCTGAGCGGAAGTTGGATGCTTAACGGACTGAGCCCCCAGGCGCCCCATGGCTTCTTCATGTTAATTTCTAGCACGGAACAGCTTTCACCCACAGGAACAGAATCTCCCGGGGGGGTCCTCAAAACTGTTCGAGGACACAGGGGTCCGCGGCTGAAGCGCCTGCACGCCGCTCTGACCGCAGGGTGGCCCCTTCCTGGTGGCACAAGCGCCGCCATCCCCCGCCTGTTTGCCTCCTTCCGGCCAGTTTCCAACGGGGGAGAATTCCACAAACGGAGCACTGAAGGCCTTAGAAGGGATCCCTGAAATAACTTATAATTACATATTACAAATATTTTAGGGGCGCCAGGCTGGCTCAGTTGGAAGAGCATGTGACCCCTCATCTCAGGGTTGTGAGGTTGAGCCCCACATTGGGTGTGGAGCCTACTTAAAACTAAATTGTGGTAACGTACACACAACCTAAAATTCACGATCCTTACCATCTCCAAGCGCACAGCTCAGTGGCGTCAAGCACGCTCACACTGTCGTGCAGCCGCCCCCACTGTCCGTCTCCAAGCTGAGACTCTGTCCCCAGGAAGCATGGACTCCCCGCCCCCCACCCCAACCCTGGCTCCCACCATCTACTCTCTGCCTCTATGGACGGGACTCCTCTGGGGACCCCCTGCGAGTGGGGTCACGCAGGACACGTCCTTCTGTGTCTGGCTTCTGTCACATAAGTAAAGTCTGGCAGGATGTCTTCAAGGTGTGCCCACGGGGCGGCGCGTGGCAGGGGACCTGGGTTGTGGCCGCGGCACGTTGACGTTGGGAGGGTTTAGATGCACTGACGTCCCCAGAGTGAGCCCGGCCAGCCTGTCCCGGGAGGAGCACGTTGCCTCCGTCACGTGAAGAGGGAGAAGGGGCTTCCCGAGTTTGTGCCGCGGCTGCCCCTCTGCGCGCCACCCTCTCCCCTTTCCGGTCTTCCCAGCGCGGTCCCCTCCCTCCCCTGCACTGGGGGCGTCGTCCCCCGCCCAGCTCCCGAGCACCAGCCACGCAGCCCCTGCCCTCGGTGGTGGCTCGTGCTCTGAGGGCTTCTCACGGGGGGTGTTGGAGGGCATCGCAGACAGAGTGACTCTGGCGCTGGCAGTACGGGCGGGAACCTGGGCCAATAGGGAAGAGCGTTCTGGGCGGAGGGAACCGAGGGAACAGCCGCGCAGAGGCCCGCCCTGGTGAGGAGCCCTCGGAGCCGCCTGCACGGGTGGACCCGCCGAGGGCGAGGGCGGTCTGGGGCGGGGCGGGGCGGAGGGCGTGGGAGCAGCGGGGAGGGGGCGGGGGTGGGGGGTCCGGGGCCGAGCGCGGGGCGGGGGCGGGGCCTGCAGCGCACGAGCCCCTCCCCGCTCGCCCAGGCGGACTGCAGGCCGTGGCGGAGCTACTGCAGGTTGACTACGAGATGCACAGGATGACCCGGGACCCGCTGAACCTCGCCCTGCGCCGATACGCCGGCATGACCCTCACCAACCTCACCTTTGGGGACGTCGCCAACAAGGTGCCCAGGGCCGCCGGAGGGGGGCAGGGTCCGTGCCCCCCTCGACCTCGTCCCAGCCTTGAAATAGTCCTGAGAGGGGGAGACAGTTGTCCCCAGCTTCGTGCTGAGGCCCAGGAGGTGGTGTCTGGACGGGATCAGCCAGGCCCGCGGCCTTGGGCGCTGCCCTGAGCCTGTTTCCTCCTGGGAGCCGCAGGGCGCCGCTTCCCTCCCCCGAGCAGAGCAGAGAGAGGGGCGGGGTTCAGGCTCCGGCGGCCGGGTGTACCCCCAACCCTCCTCACCCCACCCCGCGTGACTTTCCTCTGTCACACCAACAGGCCACACTGTGTGCCCGCCGGGGCTGCATGGAGGCCATCGTGGCCCAGCTGGCTTCGGAGAGCGAGGAGCTCCACCAGGTGCGCGGGCGGAGGGGGCACGGCGGCACGGGGGGGGGGGGCGGGGGGGCTTCGCAGGGTGTCTCACTGCCTGAGGCCTTTCTGCCGGCAAAGCCCCCGCCCCCTGGGTGTGCTGGGCCTCCTGTGGTGGGCGTCCCCTTCCATCTTCGCGCAGCCGGCCTGGCAAGGGGTGAGGATGCAGATGCAGACCACCTGGGGAGTCCGGCCCCCCACCCCGTGACCCCCCACCCACTATGCCCGCTCTGTACCCCCCGCCCCGTGCGCCCTGGGCCCACTGCCCCTGCTCTGCCCCCTCCCCCCCACCCACCCACCACACTCGCTCTGTGCCCCGGCCCAGGTGGTGTCCAGCATCCTGCGCAACCTGTCCTGGCGAGCGGACATTAACAGCAAGAAGGTGCTGAGGGAGGTGGGCAGCATGACGGCCCTGATGCAGTGTGTCCTTCGAGCCTCCAAGGTGGGCACCAGGTGGAGCCGGGGTGGGCGCGGCGGGAGCTCCCGGGGCAGGGACGTACGCGGGGTGGACCCCGCCGAGCGCTGGGCTGCTCGGCAGGTGGCCTGCCCCTGAGGACGCCAGGCCACGTGTCTGGAATCCCGTGATGGTCAACGTGCCCTTCGCTCATATTCGAGAACATATCTGGGTGCCTTTCCTCCCAGCTCTCTGCCCACAGCTTGGGGAGGGCCGGGCGTATGGGGCTGCGCGGGCCCCCCACCGCTGACCCTCCTCCCCTGCTCGGTGCCCAGGAGTCCACCCTGAAGAGCGTCCTGAGCGCCCTGTGGAACCTGTCGGCGCACAGCACGGAGAACAAGGCGGCCATCTGCCAGGTGGATGGCGCCCTGGGCTTCCTGGTGAGCACGCTGACCTACAAGTGCCAGAGCAACTCCCTGGCCATCATTGAGAGCGGGGGCGGCATCCTACGCAACGTGTCCAGCCTCATCGCCACGCGGGAGGACTACAGGTCAGCCCTGCCCATGCCAGGGCTTGGGGGGGGGCGACTGGGGGAAGGGGGAGCCCGGGGCGGGGGCGGGGCGGCGCTGGCAGATCCTACTCCCCTGGGAACCGAGGACAAGCCTTGGATCGTGCTGGGAATGGATGGTCCCAATTGGTCCCCAGAAACTAAGTTTTTTAACATAAATATATCCCAAATCTTGTGTGGCGTATACTTGTATAATCAATTTTAAGTTAACTTCTTAAAATAAAAATATGGGGACATCTGAGTGGCTCAGTCAGTTAAGTGCCTGACTCTTAATCTGTGCTCAGGCCACAATCTCACAGTTTGGGAAATCGAGCCCCCAGTCGGGCTCTGTGCCGAGCACAGAGCCTGCCTGGGAATTAATCGCTTCACTCTCTGCCCCTCCCCTGTGCACACAGGAACATGTGCTCTCTCAAAATAAACAAACATTTAAAAGTAAAATAAAATGTATTACTTTTTAAATAATATTAACAAATACTTGTTCTTTATTAGAGTTTTTACTAAGTAGTATGAATAAATACTTATTCTGTTTTTAATGTTTATTACTTTTGAGAGAGAGAGACAGAATTCCAAGCAAGCTGTGCACTGAGTCCCTGGTGTGGGACTCAAACCCACAAACCACGAGATCATGACCCGAGCCGAAACCAAGAGTCGGACGCTTAACCGACTGAGCCACATGGGCGCCCCAATAAATACTTACTCTTTATTAAAATAAAGTATTATTTATTAGATGATAATCAGTAATTTTTAATGTAAGAAAACACATAACATTTATTTTTTATATGAGTATATCCCAAATATTGCATGGGCTCGGCTTGTGCTAAAGATTTTATTAAATCAATAAAACACTGGGGCGCCTGGGTGGCTCAGTCGGCTAAGCGTCCGACTTCGGCTCAGGTCATGATTTCACGGTTCGTGGGTTCAAGCCCCGTGTCGGGTTCTGTGCTGACAGCTAGCTCAGAGCCTGGAAGACTGTTTCAGATTCTGTATCTCCCTCTCTCTCTCTCACCCTCCCCTGCTCATGCTGTCTGTCTGTCTGTCTGTCTCTCTCTCAGAAATAAATAAAACATTTTAGAAAATCAATAAAACACTTATTTACTAAATAATACTAATAATTAAGTAATCTCTACACCCAGTGTGGGGCTCAAACTCACCACCCTGAGCCAGGCGGGCACTCTAATATTTTTAAAAACAGATACAACTTATCTTTAGCATAAGTATATCCCAAATATGAGATGTAGTTAAAATGAGATAAAGTCCGTTTTACCATTTTTTTTTTAATGTTCTATTTATGTCTGAGAGAGAGAGAGAGAGAGAGAGAGAGAGAGAGACAGCGTGAGCAGGGGAGGGTCAAAGAGAGAGGGAGACACAGAATCCGAAGCAGCTCCAGGCTCCGAGCTGTCAGCAAAGAGCCCGACGCGGGGCTTGAACCCACGAACCATGAGATCATGACTTGAGCTGAAGTCAGACGCTTAACCGACTGAGCCACTCAGGCGCTCCAAGTCCGTTTTACTTTAAAAAAAAAAAAAAGTATTTTTTTAAATGTCTATTTATTTGGAGGAAGTGCATGTGAGCGGGGCAGGGGCAGAGAGGGGGAGAGAGAATCCCAAGCAGGCTCCGCACTGTCAGCATAGAGCCTGATGCGGCGTTCGAACTCATGGTCCGTGAGATCGTGACCTGAACCACAATCAACAGCCAGACGCTTAACTGACTGAGCCCCCCAGGCGCCCCTAGAAGAAAGTATTATCATTTTGATATATGATGTCACGCCACAGTTTCTGCGGCGTTCTGAAACGCAGAGGTGCCCGGGAGCCCGGATGCTCTGCACAGTCCTGCTGCCGGGGGAGGGGCGGGGGGGGGCGCCCACCTGACCCCTCTTGTGCTGCAGGCAGGTGCTGCGGGACCACAACTGTCTGCAGACACTGCTGCAGCACCTGACCTCCCACAGCCTGACCATCGTGAGCAACGCGTGCGGCACGCTCTGGAACCTGTCGGCCCGCAGCGCCCGCGACCAGGAGCTGCTCTGGGACCTGGGGGCCGTGGGCATGCTGCGCAACCTGGTGCACTCCAAGCACAAGATGATCGCCATGGGCAGCGCCGCGGCCCTGCGCAACCTGCTGGCCCACCGGCCCGCCAAGTACCAGGCGACGGCCACCGCCGTGTCCCCCGGCGCGTGCGCGCCCAGCCTGTACGTGAGGAAGCAGCGGGCGCTGGAGGCCGAGCTGGACACGCGGCACCTGGTGCAGGCGCTCGACCGCCTGGAGAAGCAGGGCCTGCCCGAGGCCGCGGCCGCCTCCAAGAAGCCGCCGGCGCCCCTGCGGCACCTGGACGGGCTGGCCCGGGACTACGCCTCAGACTCCGGCTGCTTCGACGACGACGAGGCGCCCTCCCTGGCTGCCGCCGCCTCCGCCGCCGAGCCTGCCAGCCCCGCCGTGCTGTCTCTCTTCCTGGGCAGCCCCTTCCTGCAGGGACAGGCGCTGGCCCGCGCCCCGCCTGCCCGCCGCGATGGCCCGGAGGCTGACAAGGAGGCCGGCGGGGAGGCGGCCGTGGCGGCCAGGGCCAAGGCCAAGCTGGCGCTGGCGGTGGCGAGGATCGACCGGCTGGTGGAGGACATCTCGGCCCTGCACACCTCCTCTGATGACAGCTTCAGCCTCAGCTCCGGGGACCCGGGGCAGGAGGCGCCGCGGGAAGGCCGAGCCCAGTCCTGCTCCCCTTGCCGGCGGCCCGAGGGCAGGAGGCAGGAGGCTGGCGGCCGCGCCCACCCGCTGCTGCGGCTCCAGGCCGCCCACGCCAGCCTCTCCAACGACAGTCTCAACAGCGGCAGCACGGGCGACGGGCGCTGTCCCCGAGAGCACACGAGGCCCTCCCTGCTGGCCGTGCTGGCCGAGCACCAGGAGGGGTCCCCGTGCAGCCAGGCGCGGCCCAGCCGCCTGGACCTCAGCCTGCCCGGCAGCCGGGAGCCGGCCGTGGGGGACGGCTCGGCGGCCGACGCCTGCGTGCGCACCATCAAGCTGTCGCCCACCTACCAGCACGTGCCACTCTTCGAGGCCAACCCCAGGGCGGGCGCTGGGAAGCAGGCCTGGCTGCCCACGGAGGGCCTGAGCAGGGTGCCCGCGAAGCCGGCGGCGGAGACGGCGCCGCGCCCCCTGTCGCGCTGCAGCTCGCTGTCCTCGCTGTCCTCGGCCGGCCGCCCGGGCCCCAGCGAGGCCGGGGACCTGGACAGCGACTCGTCCCTGGAGGGGCTGGAGGAGGCAGGGCCCGGCAGGGCAGAGCTGGGCGGAGCCTGGCTCGGGCCCGGGGCCGCCTCCCTGCCCGTGGCCATCCCGGCGCCGCAGCGGGGCCGCAGCCTGGGGGCCGAGGACGCCACACCGTCCAGCTCCTCGGAGAACTGCGTGCAGGAGACGCCCCTGGTGCTGAGTCGCTGCAGCTCTGTGAGCTCCTTGAGCAGTTTCGAGAGCCCGTCCATCGCCAGCTCCGTCCCCAGTGACCCGTGCAGCGGGCTGGGCAGCGGCACGGTCAGCCCCAGCGAGCTGCCCGACAGCCCCGGGCAGACCATGCCGCCCAGCCGCAGCAAGACGCCCCCGCTGGCCCCTGCGCCCCCGGGCGAGCGCGAGAGCACCCAGTTCAGTCTGCAGTGGGAGAGCTACGTGAAGCGGTTCCTGGACATCGCCGACCGCCGGGAGCGCTGCCGGCTGCCGTCGGAGCTGGATGCGGGCAGCGTCCGCTTCACGGTGGAGAAGCCAGATGAGAACTTCTCGTGCGCCTCGAGCCTCAGCGCGCTGGCTCTGCACGAGCACTATGTGCAGAAAGACGTGGAACTGCGGCTGCTGCCCCCCGCCTGCCCAGATCGCAGCGGCGGAGGCGCCCGCCGGCGGGACGAGGCTGGGGGCTGCCTGGAGGGGCCGGCAGCCGCCGACCAGGAGCTGCAGCTGCTGCGCGAGTGCCTGGGGGCCGCCGTGCCCGCCCGGCTCCGCAAGGTGGCCTCGGCCCTGGTGCCAGGCCGCCGCGCACTGCCTGTGCCCGTGTACATGCTGGTGCCCACTCCCACCAGGGGGGACGACTCATGCACCGACTCAGCCGAGGGCACACCGGTCACCTTCTCCAGTGCCACCTCGCTCAGCGACGAGACGCTGCAGGGACCCCCCAGGGACCCGCCGGCCGGGCATGCAGACAGCCAGAAGACTGCAGGTCGGGAGGCCCCTGCCAGGCAGGCCACCGGGCATCAGCACAGGGCGTGGGGCGTGGGCCGGAGCACAGAGCAGGCCCGGGGGGCGGGCACTTGCCGGGCAGGGCTGGAGCTGCCCCTCCACCGGCCCTCGAGCACCTGCACGGACAAGGACAGTTCCCGGCCTGGCCAGGCACGCGGGGATGGGGCACTGCAGTCGCTGTGTCTCACGACGCCCACCGAGGAGGCCGTGTACTGCTTCTACGACAACGACTCAGATGAAGAGCCAGCGGAGGCCGTGGCGCCCCCGAGGCGGGCGTCCGCCATCCCGCGTGCAGTGAAGAGAGAGCACCCACCTGGCAGGAAGGATGTGCAGGCCCCGCCCAAGGCCCCGCCCAAGGCCCCGCCTGCCGCCTGCGCCCAGCCCAGCCTCATCGCCGATGAGACTCCACCTTGCTATTCCCTGAGCTCCTCCGCCAGCTCCCTCAGCGAGCCTGAGCCCCCTGAGCGCCTGGCCAGCCGACCCCGTGCTCCCGAGCCAGCTGTCGCCAAGGTCCTGGGCCCGGGGAGCGGGTGCAACGGCGCCCCCAGCCCGCGGGCGGGGCCGGGGCTGCTCCGACGCTGTGTCGGCTCGGCAGTGCCTGGGCGCCGGCTCCAGGCGTCAGGCCCTCGGCGCCGCAAGCCGCAGGCTGCCCGGCCAGACAAGCGGCCAGCAGAGCGGCCCCCGGAGTGCAGTGACGAGGCGGCAGGCTCAGACCAGGCCTCCGACCTGGACAGCGTCGAGTGGCGCGCCATCCAAGAGGGCGCCAACTCCATTGTCACGTGGCTGCACCAGGCAGCAGCTGCGGCGCACGAGACCTCCTCTGGCTCTGACTCCATCCTGTCCGAGCCGGGGCTGTCCGGCTCCACCCTGCAGCCGCCGATGCACAGGAAGGGACAGCGGCTGCAGGCCAGGGTCCAGGCGCGCAGTGCTGAGAGGCCGAGGCTGGAGAAACGGGACTCAACCCTGGCCCAGCACGGAACCAGTGGCCCGGATAGGCTTCGTGGTGCTCAGAAGACGGCGTGCAGGGTGGGGGCCGTGCTCCGGGGACGGACTGTGATCTATGTGCCCAGCCCAGCCCCCCGGGCACAGTCCAGAGGCAACCCCAGCACCCGTGTGGCACCGAAAAAGATGGGAGCCCCAAGTCCCACGCAGCCAGCAGCCCCAGCCAAAGCCCCCAGCCCAGGGCAGCCGCGGTCTCGCAGCCTGCACCGGCCAGGCAAGATCTCGGAGCTGGCGGCGCCGAGCCCCCCACAGCGGAGCGCCACGCCGCCTGCCCGCCTGGCCAAGGCCCCCTCATCCGGCTCCTCCCCAGCCTCCCCTGCCTCCCAACCCCCGCCCAGGAGGCCACCCCCGGGCGCCCAGGCTGCAGGGCCGCTTCCTGGTCCCGGGGCGTCTTTGGTGCCCCAGACGCCCGCACGGGCCCTGCTGTCCAGGCAGCACAAGACCCAGAAGTCACCTGTTCGGATCCCCTTCATGCAGAGGCCAGTCAGGCGGGCTCCGACACCTCTAGCCAGGGCAGCCCCGGAGCCGGGCCCCAGGGGCCGGGCAGGGACCGAAGGAAGCCTGGGTGCCCGAGGAGGCCGCCTGGGCCTGGTACGGGTGGCCTCCACCCGCTCCAGTGGCAGCGAGTCCTCTGACCGCTCCGGTTTCCGGCGGCAGCTGACCTTCGTCAAGGAGTCAGCAGGCCTGCCCCGTCGCCGCCGTTCAGAAGTGTCTGTGCCTGAGACCTCGACCGCCACCTCCCAGGGCGGCTCACCCCGGCGCGGTCGGCCCGCCTTGCCCGCAGTCTTCTTGTGCTCCTCGCGCTGCGACGAGCTGCGGGCGGCCCCCAGGCGACCCCCTGCAGCCCGGCCTGACCCCGGCGAGCGGCCGACTCGGCGCCCCAGCTCCGAGAGCCCGTCCCACCTGCCCGTCCGCACACCAGCCGCCCGGCCCGAGGCCGTCAAGCGCTACGCATCCCTGCCACACATTAGCGCGGCACCAGCGCCCACGGCTGATGCCGCCCGCCGCAGCAGCGACGGGGAGGCCCGGCCACTGCCCAGGGTGGCGGCCCCAGGCACCACGTGGCGTCGCATCCGGGACGAGGACGTTCCGCACATCCTTCGGAGCACACTGCCCGCCACTGCCCTGCCCCTGATGGGCGCCTCGCCCGAGGAGGGTCCCAGCGGCCCCCCGCAGCGCAAGACCAGCGACGCTGTGGTCCAGACAGAAGACTTCGTTGCCACTAAGACCAACTCCAGCACGTCTCCAAGCCTGGAGAGCAGGGGGCCGCCCCAGGTCCCGGGCAGCAGCCCCACCTCATTCCCCGGCAGCGATGTGGATGGGCCCTGCCCCTCCAAGGTGCCCACCTCTGCCCCCTTTGTCCACGAGGGCCTGGGGGTGGCCGTGGGAGGCTTTCCCACCAGTCGGCACGGCTCCCCCAGCCGCGCGGCCCGCGTGCCCCCCTTCAACTACGTGCCCAGCCCCATGGTGGCAGCCACCACTGACTTGGCCGCGGAGAAGGCCCCCACCGCTGCCCCCGCCAGCCTCCTGGAATAGGGGCCGTGGCCGGCCTCCTAGAACATCCTCTCCTGGCCAAGGTCTGGCCTGGCTGCCCAGGGGGTGGTCCCAAGGTCCATCTGCCCACCAGAGCCCCTGCCCTTGGAGCTCCCCTGCAGCCCGAATGGGCCTCACATCTCACGCACAGATGCTTGCTCCGTGTCGCGGGGGCTCTGGGAGGAAGTGGAGCCCAGGCTGGACCTCCAGTCCCAACCGGGTCCCCATGCAGAGACCAATCCTCCCAGCTCGGGCTGCCCTCAGCAGCGCGCTCCACAGCCCCAAGCTCCAGCAAGACCCTCTCGTTTTGGGAGGTGCAAGGAGGTGGCACCCCACTCCGGATGAGGGACAGGGTGGGGAGGGTGGCCCCATCAAGCAGGCGCCTGCCAGCTGGGGGCCTCGGTGCCAGCGTGCGCCAGGGTGAAGCCTGTAATGTTGGAGGCCCCGTAATTGGTTAATGATGGCTTTGCGGGTTTGTTTGCCTCCTCAGCCCCGGCTGGGGAGTGTGGGGGCGGGAGTGGTGGAGCCCCAGACAGAGCCCGGGGCGCCCGCGGCTGTCGCAGGGCAGGGGCGGGCTGCTGGGCGGCCTGGAATTGCAGGGAGAGACGGGTGTGCAGAAGACAGGGACAGTCAACGGTGTGGTCAGACAGCCTGGCTGGGGGGACGCGATGGCTGCCAGCCTGGGGACGGGGACGCTGGAAGGGGGCGCAACTGCAGCCGGCGGGAGGAAGCGTGTAGAGGACGTCCCCGGAGGCGACCGCCCTGCTTTTCCATCCCATCCTCCTCCGTGGCGCACAAAGTGCTGGGCTCATGGGCTCGCCGCCAGGGACAGCACAGCTGCAGGAGATGCCGGCTGTGGGGGGTCACATGGGGGACAGCGATCCCCGAGGCCTCGCTTCTCCCCCCATCGTGTGCAGCTCAGTGTCCCCAGGTGTGCGTTTGTTCAGGCTCAGCCCCCGGGACGCTGCCTCGCAGGGAGAGCCGACGACCTCTTCCTGCGGCACGTGGGCTGCGCGGAGAGCGCCCCCTGGCAAACAGATCCGCTGTGACAGCCGCCCCGCCAGAGCACCACTCCCGGCGCGGACAGATGCCATTTGGGGAGACAGTGGGGAGACAGTGCAGCCACCGTGAAGTCCCTTCTATGAAGCACAGTGGAGAGCCCCCACCCGACAGCACCACTGACCCTCCCCGTCACCCAGAAGTTTCTGCAGTGGCTCACCGTCCTCAGCTGGGGAGCCCTCAAGAGACCCTGACGCCATACCCGCTGCTGCATCGCACCCCCAGATGCCCCGTGCCGTGGGACGGGAGCCGGGCCCGCCTGAGCGGGGATGGCGGCTGAGCATGCGCAAGGCCGCGGCCGCCCCTCGGGACCCACAGGCATATCGGACACCTCTCAGAGACCGCCAGTCCCTGTCCCCACTGTAGCCTGCGGGGCCCCCGGCTCCTTTGTGGATTTGGGGACTGCCCGGTATCACCTGTGCTCACAGTCCCCATGGGACAGGCTTTCCCAACGCGGGCTGCTGGGAGGGAAGAGGCAGAGACCCACCACCAGCTCGTCCAGCCACGGGCCCAGGGCTTCGAGCAAGCACGCACCGTGAGACCCTGGGCTCTGCTTTCGCCGCTCTGTGCCTCAGTCTCCCCACGTGGGCCGCGGGGAGAACTCCCAGAGCTACCTCTCGGGCGAGTGGAGAGACCGCCGTGGCTGGGGGAGACCTGTGCTTCGGGGCCCTCCCTCGCTGCCGCCCCTGGGCTGCCTCTCCCGCAGCTCCCCGAGGGCCAGCACACAGGAGCTCCCTCCCACGCGTGCCCGGCAGCCACGTTTGCCTTTTCCACCCCCCCTGCGCCGGGGGCGCAGCTGCGCCTCATCCTCCAGCCTGGGCGGGTAGCAGGCGCCCTGGAGGCGCCGGCTGGCGGTCACCAGACAATCACCCTGAGTCGAGGGCTGAAGACCTAAGGTCTGAGGACCCAAAGGGCCAACCCAGCCACCCGCCAAAGGAACACGTCAAGGACCTATCCGCCTCTAGGGCGCTCTTGGGGCAAGCCCAAGGGGGACACCTGTGACCCCACGCCGTGACTTCAGGGCCAGGGCCGGACGGACACACCCGCTGCCCCAGGAGGCCGGCGGCCACAGTGCCCCACAGCCCGAGCCTGGCTGTCCTGGCCCAAACCTCGCATCCCCGTCCCGCGTCTCTGCAGCACCACAGGACACGTGTAAATACACCCATCTGCCCCCACTAACCACACCGCCGGCATCTGGCGGGAGGAAGGCGCGGAAGCAGGCGTCTCACATGCACCTTTAATAAACACAGCTGTCGAATCGCACTCTGCCGCTTGTGGCTCCGTTTCCAAGTGGGTGAGGATGGGGTGGGGGCCGGGAGGGGACTCTGGGGCCTTCTGACCTGCTCATCCCCACCTGGGGTCCGCGTGAAGGCCCAGCCTGGCTTCTGCCAAGAGCGAGCAGCTGTCCCTGATGCAGAGCCGGAGTGTGGTCCGGGGTCCCGGGTCGACAGCACAGGGAGCCCGGTGGGTGTGCCCCTGCCTGACCCCAGGGGACTCCGAGAGGAGACGGTACCCTGGAGTCAGGAAGTGCCAGAGACCCAGGCCAGGCCCAGAGGGTGGAAGAAGCTCTCAGCAAGGGCACCACTGGTAGCTGGGGCGGCTGTGCGCCCGCTGCCCTACCCGGAGCTGGGCCTGTGCTTTCCATGTGCCCGGGCCCCCAAAGCCACTTTCTGGGTTCTTTTCTTTTTTTTTTTTTTTGGAGGTTGATAAGGTGTGTTTTATTTTATTATTTTTTTTTACAAATAGTTTATTGTCAAATTAGTTTCCACATAACACTCAGTGCTCATCCCCACAAGTGTCCTCCTCCATGCCCATCCCCCCTCCCCCCCCCACTTTCTGGGTTCTGGTTTTGGGGGTCCCTCGGATGCTTGGGATCCTTCGTGACAGGGCCCTGCCACGGTGCTTCGGAGCTCCCAGGGACCCCTGAATGGGGCAGTCACGAGGCGCTGTGCAGAGACCTGCTGCAGACAGGGCTTCAGCTGTGGGGCCCGGTGGGGACACCCACGAGCGGCCGCCTCTGCCTCAATTTTCTGAAAGTTTGTCTTTTCAAATGAAAAGCCCTTTTCAAGCTCCGCTCCTGTTCGGTGCACCCCACCGCCCACAGGTGCAGCCTGCCTGGATGGAGGCAGACACCAAGGGCTCGGGTGAGAGGCTGACCAGCTCTTCCTCTCACAGAAGCCCGTGTGATGGGGTGCCTGCACCCCGACAGCGACCCGCCCCGTGGGAGCACCCAGGCCTCAGGTCAGGGTGCTCAGGGGGCACCACCAGAGGCCCCGTCTCCGGTGTGGGCGCTGCTGGGCAAGTGCTCCTCCAGCAGCCGCCGCCGTCTGCAAGGAACGGGGTCCTGCGCCCCCCAGGTGGGCGGAGACAGCGAGGGGGCCGCGTCCCACCCGCTCTGTCAGCTGGGATGGCTGCTGGGACGACGAGGGGATGCGGGGTCGCCAGGGGCAGGAGAGGATGGACGGACTGGCCCTCGAGCGCCGAGGACCCCACGCGGAGTCCAGTCTGGGCCCCACGGCCAGGGGTGAGCGGCACCCACGCTGACCCAGAGCCGCCCGTCGGGAAGGGGCCCGTGCCCAGCCGAGGCAGGTGTGTCTGTCACCCGCCACGCAGGCCCTGTGCCCCGGGGTCTCCGGGCACCGGGGAGAACCCAGGCCAGGGGACCCAGGGGCCCACATCTGAGGTGTGCCGGGTCAGGGGTCACAGGGGCGACCGGAGGCTCCGGTGAGCCGCGGGGTGCCCTGCCGGGGTGCGCGCTAAGGTGAGCTGGCAGACCAGTCAGCCCAAGGAGGCAGCCACGGCCCCGGAGAGCGCCCCCTGCGTCAGCTGGCCGAGGTCCTGCTCCAGCTCCTGGCCAGCCCGCCACAGGCCCGCGCGCCTCTGCCGCAGCCCGTCGCCCGCCTGCCGCAGCCGCTGGTTCATGGCCACGTAGTCCCGGCTCTGCTGGTACAGCTGTTCCCGCTGGGCGTCTATGTCCTCCACCCTCCCGGAGAGACCTGGGGGGTCTGGGGACAGCACCACCATCAGGGAACGGGCCTGGGGGCCCATGATGCAGGCTGGCGCCCACCCCACTCCCAGCCCTAGAGACCTCGTGAGACCCAGCACTCAGGGCAGGAGGAAGATTCGGACAGGCGTTTCCCAGCAGCCCCGCTGCGTCAAACAGCCCATGCCTGGTCGGCGGCAGAGAGACCCCACAGGGTCCGGGTTCCCAGGAGACACGTCCAGAAGCTCCCCACGTGCCTGCGTCCCCCCACCACCTTAAGGTGACCAGGAGGTCTCAGACAGGAACTGCAGCCAGCAGGGGGAGCCCCTCTCCCTTCAGCGAGCCTCGATCGGGCCGGTGCCTCAGCCTCCCCACCCTGCGAACGCTGGTGGCCCTGCTCAAGTAGCCTTCTATGGCCCTGCTGCAGGACCCATCTGACAGAACATTCCAGATGGTGGACAAGTCCTCTGGCTGAGCTGTTGGCATACAGAACCGGCCATCAGGCACGAGCGGCCCTTGAGCACTTGAAACACGGCCCCCCGGAGCAAAGAACCAAACGTTTACGATTCCTTAATTTTTTTAGTTCCCAGAGCAGGGGCGCCCGGGTGGTGCTGCTGGTCAAGCGTCCAACTCTTGGTTTGGGCTCAGGTCACCATCTCAAGGTTCTGGAGCTGCAGTCCTGGGTCGCGCTCCACGCTGAGCATGGTGCCTGCTCAACGCTCTCCCCTCCCCGCCGCAAAAAAAAAAAAAAAAAACAGAACAAAACAAAACTTCCCAGTCTCCCCCCATCTGTGGCTTCCCCAACCTAGCGGTGAATTCTCCTGGCACCACACCAACCCCAGGAAGGGCGCTGGCCCCCATCTTGCTCACCCCCTGAACCAGTGCCTCAACAGCAGCCGGCCTGTGCCCGGAACCTTCTTCCAGAAGGTTAAACAAATGCATACCTGAACCTCTTCGGATTCCACACCTGAACCAGTGGGCTCTGGGCCCACACAAAGGCACGGGCTCTGATACCCCAACTCCCAGCCGTTTCCCTTGTCCCGTGTATTCTCCACCCCTCCCCCGCAACTAAAAACCCGTTCTTCTTTTTAACTTTAGGATTTTACTTTTAAGCAACCTCCACCCCCAGCGTGGGCCAGGAACCCACAACCCCGAGATCCAGAGCCGCGCTGGCCGCGGGCTGGGCCCGCTCGGGCGCCCCGCAAGATCCATTTCTAGCTCCCTGGCTTTTACAACAGACAACCGGGATTTGGCTGAGCACCCGGCTGTGGTGTTCAGGCGCCCCTCTGAAGCTGCGCCCCACTTTACAGATGCTCAGAAAGAGTAAGCACGGCGCTAAAGTCTACGCTCTTAACTCCTCGGCTTCACCCGACCGGCTACCCTGCCGCAGAGGGTTCTCCCCGCCCCTTGCCGCCGGGGTCTCAGGGTCGTCCCTCCCCTGCCCGTGCCCGGGCTCCCCCTACCTTCCAGGGCCAGGGCGGTGAAAACGGGGTCCTCGGAGGGCGCACCCCGCACGTCCTCCAGGATCTGCTCCACCGTGGGGGGCGCTGGGCGAGTGGGCAGTACTACCCGCTTCTTGGCCTTGGAACCCATCCCTGGAGGCGAGAGAAAGGGGAGCTGACTGGGGCGTCTACCTCTCGCCTTCTTCTGGGCCCTTCCTCCCACCCAGTGAACACCTACACACCCAGAGGCGCCCCGTTCCCGGGGAAGCCACCCTGCCCCGCCCCGCTGGGCTCGCTTCGCCCCTGCCCCTCCCAACGACCGACAACTTGGGGCCAGGGGGTTTAGCGTCCGACTCCACCCCCGCCACCTCAGTTTCCCTGTTAATACCCCGAAAGTGCGACCGCCGGACGAGGGCGCGCACACTGAGCAGCCAGCACTGCTGAGAAGCCACTTCCGTTTCCGGTCGCGGCGCGGCCCCGCCCACCAGCACGTGACTCGCACTTCGTGCCTCCTCAGGCACCTGGACGCTGCTAGGCGGGAGGCCACGCCCCCTCTTAAAGGCGCCGCGCCTGCAAAGGTCCTCAATCGTCTGACATTGACTGGAAGTACGTGACCTCAGCCTCCCAGCGCGCCAGGTCTGGAAGAGCATGGGGTGGGGCAGGGGTCCTGTCCCGGCTCCCCTCGCTGCGTAACAAAGCACCCAAGTCCCGGTTTTCTGACGAAAGTGGACAGGGCTTCCCAACCCACGTGGCTGTTGTGGGAGCAAAGTTAGTGCCCTGGCGGGGGTGGAGGGTGGGGGGTGCTGGCCGCGCCAATAACCGGGGAGGCGGCCAGGGACGCTGGACACAGCTCAGCGTCGCGTCGCCAGCTAGATTCCATCACGGTCGCCCCTCTGGTCCCTAAAACATCCCGCCTCTGCCCTGCCTGGTTCCTCCCGGTACAGCTAGGGCGGGAAGACAGGCTCAGAGACTAGGGCTGGTTTTGAGCCTTTTAACAGCTTTACTGGATATTATCTACACAAAATACAGTCCACCTGTTTAAATTGTACAATTCAGGGGCGCCTGGGGGGCTCAGTCAGTTAAGCATCCGACTTCAGCTCAGGTCATGATCTCCCGGTTCGTGGGTTCAAGCCCCGCGTCAGGCTCTGTGCTGACAGCCACCTCACAGTCTGGAGCCTGTCTTCGGATTCTGTGTCTCCCTCTCTCTCTCTCTGACCTTCCCCTCCTCATGCTGTCTCCATCTCTCTCTCAAAAATAAAACATTTTTAAAAAATAAAATGTACAATTCAGTGGTTTTGAGAGAGATGTACAACCATCACCATAGTCTAATTCCAGAACTGTCCATCATCCCAGAGGAAACTTGGCTCCCATTAGCCATCAACCCCCAACCAGCCCCCGGCCCCCACAAGCCCCATCCCATCGTGGGTGAGCCTGTTCTGGATGTTTCACACACATGGACTCACACCCGGTGTGGCCTCTCGTGTCTGGTTCCCTCCCTGAGCGTCGTGTGTTCAGGGTCTGTCCGCAGGGCGGCGGGTGTGGGGGCGCCTCACTCCCGCTTGTGGCCGAATGATGTGTCTGTGTGTGGTGGACACGTTGTTTGACCTCATCCCTTGATGGGCATCTGGGTTGTTCCCATCTTTGGCAGTTGTGACTCGTGCTGCTGAGAATACCCCTGTAAAGGTTTTGTGCAGGTCCATGCTCTTCTTTCTCTGGGTACATACCTGGGAGCGGAATTGCTGGGTCACACGGTAACTCTGATCACCGGTTTACAGAACTTCTGGTTTCCCACAGTGTCTGCCCCAGGCTGGCACATTTTGGGTGCTTGCTGTGTGCCGCATGGGAAAACGACCTCTCTTGATCTTCCGTTGGGTGACGCAGGTGCAAGACTTATGTTGCACAGATGAGGCCACCAAAACTCCAAGGAGGCGGCCAAGCAGCCCTGGACACATGGCCCGGGCCCAGCAGGTGCTCAGACACGCGCGCACACTCACAGCAGCAGGACTCGCAAGGCACGGGACATAGAAACCGCCCAACTACGCATCGATGGAAGAACGGACGACGCACTGTGCATCCACTCGGCCGCGAGCAGGAGCACGTCGCCCACACCCGCCGCCCCGAGGACGGACCCAGAACGTATGTGAAATGTCCCGAACAGGAAAATCCAGCTTGGGGGCAAGTGAAAGCAACATACCTCCAGCCCATAATCCCCTCGGCTTCCTCGAGACGCCCAGGGAGCAGAGTAACCACAGTTACTACAAACTCACAGACCTGTGTGTGGCCGCGGAACAGCGGCTCGAGGAGCCATTTGGGAACCACGCGCTTCTTAGTTCTCAGCGTCAACACATCCCAACGGGGGAGGTAAACGTAGGAGGAGCTAGGAAGGCAGTACGCCAGCCTGGGAGCCCCCACCTCACTCCTGTCCACCCCAGACACGTGTGCCCTGGCTGCCCCTTTTCCTTTGTGGGCCACTGAGTCCTCCAGGAGAAGACAGTCTGCAAGCGGGGCACCAGGGAACCCCCAAGCGTGCCGTGGGGACGGGGCCCTGCTCCTGCCCCAAAGGAGACCGCAGACTTGGCACCTCCTATTCAACCTTTATTTGCAAAGCGTGGTGCCCGAGACTCTGGATGCTGTCATCCGTTCCCCCTGCCCCTCCCCCCACTTCCGGGGCTGGGAAGGGCCTCCGCCCCAGCCCACCCCACTCCCGTCCCAAACTGTGCGGCTAGACTCCTCTCTCTCTTTCACCTGGACCTGCCAATTTCGGATCCGGGACTCCAGCAGGCCGCCCCTGGCCTGAGGGCCCCGGTGCTCAGCCAGGCCCTCCTGGGGGGGCAGCCCCACGTACCCTGAGCCCAGGCTGGAGCAGAGGAGGACGGCGGTGCCTGCCCGGGCACACGGCTACGGCTGCCCCCCAGTCACGTATCTCTAGGCCCCGGCCAGCAGCAGGGCCCGGGGTGGTGGCGAGGTGACCCCCACAGCGGTGGGCAGCCTACAGCGAGGACGCTGCAGAGTAAGGGGCTCCCGAAGGCCAGGGCCAGGAGGGCCAGTTCCACGGGCTGGACCCGGCCAGGGTGGCAGCTGGGGTGGGCGACCGCGGTGGGCTGGGGGAGGCTGCTGGGAGGGACAGGTCCTGAGCAGGAGCCCCGACTCTCGTCCAGCGTGTAGGACGGGGGGCAGGCAGTGCAGCTGAGCGGGGAGCTGCTGAGGCAGGGGTAGCAGGAGGCGAGGCAGCTCGGGCAGACGCGCAGGGCGGGAGCAGCCGTGCGCCCAGGCCCAGCGGTCACTGCCTGCCGGCTGTGGCTGAAGCACCTTGGCGGGCAGCTGGAGAGGCAGGGGTGGCCCAGGACACAGGCGAGGCCGTGGCATTCTGCACGGGGGACATGTGCATTGGAGCGTGAGGCCGAGACCCGCCACCCTGTGCGCCCTCCCGCCCTGGGCCGCACACGCACACCAGCCGCCGCTGCCGCCCCCCAGGGAGCAGGCCGTGCCGCGTCGGGCACTCACCCTGGCACAGCCCCTCCGTGTCCCGCTGCACACACGCGCTGCTGGTCACCTGGGGGCCCGGGGGCCGCGCGGTCATGTCCTCGGCCGTCCCGTATAGCAGCAGCGTGTAGCGGTACAGCGTCCCTGGGCAGGGGTCGTAGTGGGCACGGGGGAGAAGAGGAGAGGCTGTTGGCAGCCTGGTCCCACCTTTCTGGTCTCCTGGCCCCCACCGCCCCCCACCCCAAGCTGGAGTCCCAGACGCTGATGGCCCCAGGCTGAACCCCCACCGAGCGCCCACAGCCAGCGTCTACTATTCTCCGAAGACACCGCGGGGTCTCTGAGGGAGCCCCCAGGAGCCCCTGCGCAGCGGGGTGACCCGGGCCCGAGGCCCCAGCCTGTGTGTGCCTCTCACCCGTGTTGAAATAGTTGCCCTTGTTTTCTAGGCCCAGCGTCCACAGGCCCTGCGGGTCCTCATCCCAGAAGTGGGTGGACATGAAGATCCAGTTGTTGTAGCCTTGGCCGCTGACGTCCAAGGGTCTGGGGCGGAAGGCAGGGTGGGCGGGGGTGGAGGGAGGGCCAAGCGCGGGCTGCGGGGGGCGGGGCGTCGGGCATCTGGCCTGAGCAGACCCAGACCCACCCCGACCCCACGGGGCTCCCCCCACCTGGGGAAGGCAGGAGTCCCGGCGCCCCACTCCCGCACCTGATGGCCACGAGCGTGGAGCGGGTGCCCATGGGGCTGGTGAGCGAGATCTCCAGGTCCCCGCGGCGGCTGTAGGACAGCGAGAGCTGGGCCTGCACGTGCTCCAGGGAGCGGATGCGGTTGGCACGGCCAGCGCACGCCGACACGTTCCTCCTCACTTCCGTCAAGGGCAAGATGGGGCTGGGGGCGGCGGGGGCCGCGAGCGCCCCTTCTGCGGGCCTGCGGGGGGAGACGGAGGGGCCAGCGGCGGGGTCGAGGCTCACGTCGCGGAGCCCACCCTCTCGTTTTATATGTGGGGAAAGCGAGGCGTCTGTCACCCCCTCCCCCGTGGTGAGGACGCGCGTGGGGCGAGGAGGGGCGGGCACGGGGTGGGGTGGGGCGGCCGAGGAGGGTGCTCACGTGGGGGTGTGTACAATCTGAATGACGCATTTCTTCTGGGGCTGCGTGGGCAGCCACGTGCGAGCCATGTCCACCAGCAGCCTGGCATCCAACAGCCCGTAGCCGTAGTGGTGGCTCACTGTGTGGAGGGCGGTGTCACTCGCCCTGGGGGCGTGGCACCCCCACCTCTCCCCGGCCCTGCCTCACCTTGGCGCCCCACGCCGTTGGCCCTCCAGTCCTCGGCCTGGAGCTGCGCCGGCCTGGACGCCCGGACCACCAGGTGCTGCATGTCCCTCCACGTCAAGAAGGGGCTGGGGGCAGGCGAGGGGGGTGAGCTGAGGCCGTGCTGGAGGGGGGGGCGCAGGAAGCGGGGGCCCCTCCCTCACCTACTTGGCCTCCAGAGCGAGGGCGATGATGCCCGCAGCCAGCGGTGCCGACGCCGAGGTGCCTGTGTGCTCATCGGTGCAGCGGTGGTGCAGGTCTGTGGTGACCTGGGGGGGCGGGGGGGGGGCTGGGGGTCCTGGCACACGGAAGAGCCAGCCTTTGTTCAAAACCCACCCTGGACTTCAAGAAGGTGCCACAGAGCCACCGCCAGGAACAGGGCCCGGAGCGCCCCCCAGGCCACAGAGCAGGGGAGACTGCCCGCCGGGAGGGCAGGAGGGTGGGTGAAAGGGTGACGACCTGGGGCCCGGTCCGGGGCCCCCCCTGGGTTCCAGGTGCCCCAGGGCAGCCCTGGGAGGAGAGAAAGGCGGAGGAGGGGACGGGCAGGGAGGGCAGGCGTGGAGGGGGAAGACGGCAGGGGTGGGGGGAAGGGGGGACAAGCACAGATGGGGGCGGGGCGGGCGGCGCTCACGATCTGCGGGTCGGCGGCCACGCCGCTGCTGTAGGTGGTGGTGAGCGTGGAGGCGCAGGCCTCGCTGTACCAGGGCACGCGGCCCTCGCGGGTGGTGCTGCCCACCGAGAGCGTGTGCACGCTGTTGGTGTAGCCGTCACAGTTGCAGTTGTCGGAGTGCAGGCCGCCGTTGCCTGACGCCCAGATGAAGAGCGTGCCCAGCCCGCCACGGCCCTGCACACAGGGGCGGGGGACCGCATGGGGGCGTCGGTCTCAAGGGCGGGCCCAGGCCCCCCGAGGCCCCGGGATGCGCTCACCTTGGTCACGCCGCGCCGGAAGGCCTCGCGGGTGAGGATACCCGGGCCGTCCACCGTGCGGCCGTCGTCCTCGGGGCCCCAGCTGGCGCTGTAGATGTGGATGTGCTGCGGCTGCAGGCTCAGCGACTGGGCCTCGATGATGTCCGTGATGGTGCCGTCCAGCATGCGCACGCCTGCACGGGAGGGGGGGGGCATCCAGCCTCTGCGGCAGCCCCGCCGCGCCCTCCCTGCCAGGCCCCCCCTGGAGCGGGGGCGTCCGCGTGGGGCTCCGCTCCCCCCCACCCCCGAGCTTGGGCCCTGCATCCCCCAAAGCTGCCCGCCGTGGTCTGTCCGCTAGCTCTCCCTGGCGCTCCTGGGCGCCCACGTCACCCCTCCGGCCGCCGTCTGTCCTGGGAGCCGGGCCCTGATACCTCCAATCCGGGCGTTGTAGGCAACACCTGCTCCACAGAAGCCGTTGTTTGCCACTGCGGCCACTTCCCCGGCACAGCGGGTCCCGTGCCTGCTCCAAGGCAGAGAGGGGAGCCAGTGCCGGCCCCTCCGGCTCCCCACAGGGCGCTGCCCGCACGCCCGCGGGACGCCGGCTCACCGGTTCTCATCACTGGGGCTGTACCGCGGCTGGGGGTCTGGGTCATAGTCATTGAAGTCGTAGCTGGCCAGGGGGTCCTGGGGATGAGCGGGCACATGAGGGATGGGGGCAGCCCATGGGAGCTGGGGCAGCCCGCACCCCCCGGGTCCCCGCGGTCTCACGTAGTTGGCCCAGAGGTCCGGGTGGTCCTTCTCGATGCCGTCGTCCAGGACAGACACCACGATGCCCCGGCCCGACAGGCCCTGGCTCCACACCTGCAGGACATTCAGGTCGGGCTGCACCTTGTTGTTCTGTGTGGGGGAGGGGGCTGCGGTCAGCGGGGCTCTGGCCCGGCCTGGCCCCGCCACCCGGCCCGGCCCGCTCACCATGTACCACTGCTTGGGGAACCAGGGGTCCGTGGGCACCGCCACCGAGCGCTTCACCCGCCGCCGCAGCGTCTGCTGCTCGAACCACTGCACCTGGAGGCAGACGCGCACGGCAGGAGGCCGCAGCCCCGAAGCCGCAGCCACCAGCGCTCTCACGCCCACGCAGCGTGGAGAGCCCTGGCCCCCAAGCCTTTCCCACCAATTCCCGGCCAAGGAATTGCTTCCAGGGTCTGCGCGGGCCTCCTCCCCAGCTCCACGGAGGGGCGACGCCCGGTGGGGCCGTGGCCGGGGTGCGATGTGTGTCTGGGTCATCCACCCTGTCCTGGGGCCACTGCGGTGTGGGACAGGGCCCGGGACCTCGTGTTTGCTGAGGCTGCTCTTTGCGGCCCCCGTGTGCGTGCGGCTTCGCCTTCGGCGGGGACCAAGGCCCTCAGGGCCCACTGACAACGCAGCCACTGCTCTTGGGGTCCAGCCCTGACCCTTCCCCAGTCCATGTTCTAGATCCTTCTGCCCACGCCGCACCCCTCGCAAAACATGCCTGGATGGCCACACCTGCCCCCGGCCTCCAGTGCTGCCCTCCTCTCCAGGGCCCACAAAGCCCTGCCTGGCTGGCCCCCACCAGCCTCCCTCCGCTGGAGGCACAACGGCTGCCTCACCCCAGGGCCTTGGCACATAGCCCCTCTGCCTGCCCCAGGCTGTTCTTCTTCAGACCTTTCTGCCCTTCCTTCCCCCTTGCTGATCTCCCACTCCCTGAACCAGCTCACGTGCCCTCAGCTCCACCCCAGCGATGGGGTGACTGTCTCCAGACTTGGAAGCTGGCCCCGATTCCTCTCTGTCGCACGCATCCCACCCACTGGCAAGCTCTGGCTTCTCTCGTGCAAACCACACCTCAGACTGGCAACTTCTCTCCGTCCCCAGTGCTCGCAGGGAGTTTCAAGCTACCAAGCCTGCTGCCTCCACGCTGATGAGCCCCCCAGCCCAGCCCAAACCGCATGGTGGCCTCCTGGGGCTCTGCAAGACCCCAGCCTCAAGTCCCCAGCTTGGCATCTAATGCCTTTTCCCAATCTGGCACCTCTCTGGCCGTCACAGCCTCCCTGGGTGACTGAAGGCAGGATCCCTACTGTGGAACCATTGTCTCGGTCACAAAAAGGACCAATTCCCTTCTCTCCATGCCGTGAACTGGAACGTTATCTGCTGTCTTTATGGAGTACGTGTGAACCCTGACCTTGCAGGGTGAGAGTGAGGAGGGCGGTGGGGGGCAGGCCCCCTGAAAAAGAAATGCTGACAGTGCACCAAGGCCTCGAGGAGAGCTCAGCACCCACAAATGACCGGTGTCATCCAGGTGACCTCCCTGGATGGTCCCCATGGTACAGACAGGGGGACCAAGTGGAAACCGAGACTCAGAGAGAGCGGGTGACGGGATAACAAGAGGTGGTGAGCAGGCTTACCTTGGGGTCTTTCTTCAGGCGCAGGCGATGGCCCCAGTGTGGGCTCAGGGACTGCTGAACCACGCCCCGGTGCCGCAGGTGGAAGTACTGCCCGTCAGGAAAGATCTGGGAACGCGGGGAAGCATCCGCCACGATGGCACCTGCCTCCCAGATGGAGTCCCCCAGGACAGAGGCCAACACCACTTGTTTGCATCCTCCCTCATCCAGGTGCCCAGGTGGGGGCTTCAGGTGCCGTCTAGGGGTCCCAGAATCCGAGGCTGGTCGAGGCAGGGGTGAGCCGGGTTCCCCCCAGTCTGCCGGAGCGTCGTCCAGCCCCTGCCCCTCCTGTCCCTTCGGGTGCCACTCACCTGCCCCAGGTAGACGAAGCCGAATTTGCGCGCCAGGCGCTCGGCCTCCCGGTAACCCTGGGACACCCGCACGGCCCAGCTGCTGACATAGATGGGGACCCGGGCCGAGGACCACCCCACAGGCAGGGGCCCAACGAGGGCCAGACCCAGAGCCAAGGCTAGGCGCAGCCAGAGCGCAGTCCAGGCGGGCCGCATGGCGGCGGGGGCGGGGCCGGGGCGGGGCCACCGAAAACCCCTCCCCCTGGCCAAACCGCCGAGTAGGCCCAAGCGCCCGCCCCGCCCCCGGGGCCATAGCAACCCTGAAAGGCTTCAATTCCCAGGGGGCCTTGCGGCTTTCACCCCGTTTCCCCCCCACCCCAGGAGCGCGAAGATCCGACCGAAGTTGGGGGGCGTTATGGGGGGACACACGCCCGCCCCGCAGATCCAAACCGTCTGGGGCCTCAGTCTCCCTCATTTGTACAGGGACCAAAGCTTCCGACCGGCGGGGAAGACAGGGTTCACGGCTGCTACACTTGGCCCCGCCCCTCTGTCCCCGCCCACTTGCCTGCGCACCCCTCCCCCTAGAATCAGCCCTGCCTCCTCCCCGGTCCAACCGGAATTGTTCTTCCGAGCAAGTCCCGCCTTCTCGACTTCACTCGGTCCCATTCCCCGCCTCCTCCGAGAGTCTGTCCCGCCTCCTTCACGGTCGACCCCGCCCCTCCTCCGTTCTCGCCAATCAGCTCTGGTCTTCCTCCAGGCCCTCCCGCCCGCTCCGGCCCCCCTCCCGGCACCGCCTCTCTCCTCCCCCTCCCAGCTCCACCCCCACAACGGCTCAGCCAATAATCCCCGGCCATGACCCCGCCCCTCCAATCAGCTACGTCCCACTCCTGCTCCACCAATCGGCGCCCTCGGCCTCCGCGCCCCGCCCTCGGCCCCCGGCTTCGCAGCGGGGGCTGCCGCGGGCTGCCAGAGGGCAATGCGGCGGGGGAGACGGGGCAGGCCCCACCTCCTTTGTCCGCCCTGCCCTCCCATTGGCCGGAGCGGGGGGCAGGGGGCGGAGACCATCATCTCGGGGGCGGAGACCATCTCGGGCGCGGAGCGGGGCTGCTCGCGCCGGGAAAAGGCAGCACGCGCGCCGCGGGGCGGGTGCGCGGGGCCGCGGTCGAGCTCGGGCTGCCAGGCCCCGGCCCGCCGGTGCCATGGACGGCCTGCGCCAGCGCATCGAGCACCTTCTGGAACAGAGGAACCTGGTCACCGAAGCGCTAGGGGCGCTCGAAGCCAAGACAGGTGTCGACAAGCGGTACTTGGCCGCGGGTGAGCCTTTCGGGGCGCTCGGGGCTGCTGTCCCATTTCGCCGACGGGCGCACTAAGGCCCTGGGGCAACCGGACCCCGGACCTGGCCCCTTGCGGCCAGCGGCTTCTGCGTGGTGCGGGCTCGGACGGCGGGGAGCACCCCACTGTCCACCAGGGAGACAGATCCTGGGGAGGGGTCGTGGACCAGGACTTTGAGTCTGCCCGCAGCCCCTCCCTTGGCCCCGCCCTGCGACCTGGGGCGAGTGTCACCCCCAGCATTACCTTCACTCCAGTCCTCAGGTCTGGAGACCGTTCACTGTCCCCTTCCCCGTGGTCCTGGGTGACTTCCAGGCCGAAGTCCGGTTCTTCCAGTTCCTCTGTCCCCTGGGGGAGGAGAGGGCCGGGGGTAAACGGCCAGTGCCCTGAGAGTCTTGCCACATCCCACGGGGACACCAGCCTGGGAGCAGGTGTAGAGGTGTTTCCGTCCCCCCCCCACCCAGTGCTCCAGGCCAGGAGGGGAAGGGTCACTCCCATCTCCCTTCCCCCCATCGTTCTACCAGCCCCTCCCCACGCGTGCCCTCTAGTCTCCCAGCCCTGCGTCTGAATAGTTGAGTTGGGTTGTTTGACAGCTGGGGTGGGGCTGGGCAGACACTGGATGGGGGACCGTAGGGCAGGGGCCAGCCACTCCTGACTGTCACCATTCCGGTCCCCCCTCCCCTTCCTCAGTGACCTTGGAGGCCACCTGCCACTCCCCGAAGCTGTCTAGCAAGCTTTCCTGAAGTGCTCCCTCCCCTCCTTTTCCGTGTCCCAGGCCCACCTGTTCTGCCACCTCTTCCAGGAAGGCCCCCTGGAACCAATCCCAGGAACACTTTGTTCAGATGTGGCGGGGGCTTTGGGTGATGACAGGGGCATATGTTTTGAGCACCTTGTGTGTGCAGATCCTGGGAGTCCACGATCCCCCCATTTCCCCCAGCCGGGGGTCCCTGTGGCCGGCAGAGAAGGCCCGCAGTTTATTCCTCCCAGGCCTCCAGCGCCCACCCCGTGTCAGCTCGGCCAGGACCCCGTCCCTGGGAGCAGGCCCCGACTTCTCTGCTGACGTTCCACATCCCTGGTACCCGTGGGCAGGAATTTGGGTCATAGAGCACTGGGGAGGGGCCCACCCGTGGCGGCTGGGAGGCACAGGGAGAAAACCGAGGCCCAGAGGGTCAGGGCCTTTGTGGAAGGCTGCCTCTGCCCCTCCCACCCCTGCCCTGTCTGGAGCATCCCTCCCTCCCTCCCCTTCCCCCCTCCCTGAGTACCATCTGTTGCTGATCTGTGGGCCTGTGCCCCCCCCCCCCAAATGTCCAAGGTCATCCTCCTGTTGCTGAGGCTGCAGGAATAGGGATTGAGGGAGAGGTGCTCCTCCCCAGCCAGCAAGTTCCCGGGGAGGGGTGACATTACCCCACCCCCTCGCCCAAATGTGGGAACTCTGGGGCCCCACATGCCCCAGATGATCACACCCCCAGCCCAGGTAACAACGGAGGAAACCCAGACCTCCTGGGCCCAGATGGGGGCCCCTTCCCTGCTCTGACCCCAGACCCTGGGGACAAAGACTGAGACAGGTGGAGGGAGGGGTGGGGGTGACTGCCCTTTGGTAGGAAAGTGACCCCTATCTCTGCAGATAACGGGAGGCTGTAAAATCTCCCAGGAGCCCAGGGGCTCTCTTCCTGGCTTTGGTCCCGCCTCCTCCCAGCTGCCCTTTGGTTCTGGCCGGTGAGTGAGACACAGCAGGGAAGCACAGACACATGCACACAAGAAGCACTTAATAAATGCAGCGTTTACCGCTCCCCACCTCCCCCAGCATGTGCTCTCTGGGCGCTGCCTCTGGGGCTGTTTCTACGCCCAGAAGGTGCTCGGAGGAGCTGTCTTCACTGAGTGGTGTCTAGCTATCCCCACGGCCTTCGGAGGCAGGGCCACTTCCACCCCATTGACTGATGGGGCAACTGAGGCTCCAAGCAGAGAGAGACGTGCTTGGTGTCACGCGGCCAGTGGAAAAGCAGAGGGCTCTCCTGGGTCTGGGAAACCCCACCGGGTTCAGGTGCCCCCACTGTAAGACAACAGCCCTCACCCACGCACCCCTGGGAATCGAGTCTTAATGACAGATCAAACAGCCTTACTTTTCGGTTTGCTCCTATTACCTTCAAATGCTGGGCTCGTGTCCCCAGCTTCCCCATAGGACGCGGAGTAAGGCAGTGACAATTGCAGATGGTCACCTATTCGTTCAGCAAATGTTTCTTGGGCGCCACTCTACCCATCAGGGCCCGGCCCCACCTGCCCTTGGGGAGCTCACAGTTTGAGGGTCGGGGGAGACCGGCTGCTAACTGGTCGCACGCACGAGACGCGGGCCCAGGGCCATCGCAGGTGTCACCAAGGTGCTGCGGGGGCGGCAGCCCTGTCCTGGAGGGTCCCTTTTAGGGGTGGCGAGAGCATGCGGCTGCCACGGCCTCTCTCCCCCAGGAGCCACCACTCTGCTAAGCCTGTATCTTCTCTTCGGCTTCGGGGCATCTCTACTGTGCAATGTCATCGGCTTTGTATACCCAGCGTATGCTTCGTGAGTGCCCGTGGCTGGGGGGAGGGTGCCCGTGGCTGGGGGGAGAGTGCCCGTGGCTGGGGGGTCCCAGCATATGCTTCGTGAGTGCCCGTGGCTGGGGGGAGGCGTGGGGGGGACGGACTTCCCCTGACTCTGCCCACCGCCCCTCCCCACCCAGAATCAAAGCTATCGAGAGCCCAAGCAAAGAAGACGACACTGTGTGGCTCACCTACTGGGTGGTGTACGGCCTGTTCGGACTGGCCGAGTTCTTCAGCGATCTACTCCTGTCCTGGTTCCCTTTCTACTACGCGGGCAAGGTGGGCGCCCCTGGGACGCGCACGGGACTGGGGGCTCCTGGGAGCAGGCAGGTGACCGGGAGGCTGGGGGTGGGAGGGGGAGACCCAGCCCCCTCTCTGAGGAAACAGCTCCCGCCCCTGGGGTGTCTGACGGAGGCCGGCCGGCCGGCGTCCGATGGGGGAGGCCCCACGGGCACAAGCGCTGACCCCACCCCGCCCCACAGTGCGCCTTCCTGTTGTTCTGCATGATGCCCGGACCCTGGAACGGGGCGCACATGCTGTATCACCGCGCCGTGCGGCCACTCTTCCTAAAGCACCACGAGGCGGTGGACAGCGTCGTGAGAGACCTCGGCGGGCGAGCCCTGGACGTGGCAGTGGGAATAACCCGGGACGGTGTGTGCCCTCGGGGGGCGGGGGCGGGGGTCTGTCCCGGGCTCTGTCTGTCTGTGCCCCCGCCCGCTGCCCCCCCCCCGCCCCTGCCCGGCCTCTGTCTGGCCTCCGTGTGGCTGCACCCCCTCACTGCCAGCCTCTCTCTCCTGTGCTCTCGGGAACCAGTCCTGCAGACCCTGGCCCGCGGCCGGGCGCTCGTGAGCCCCGGCGCCGCTCTTGGAGCTGAGCGTACGTACCCCCAGGCCCCGCGTGTGCCCGCAGCCGCGCCTGCAGAGGAGGGGGGCCGGCCCTGCCCCCGGCCGCCTTGCCCCCCGCGCCCCGCGGCCTCGGCGCCCAGCCTGCCTCACCCCTACGGCCGTCTCTTTGCAGCCCAAGCAAGCGTGACCCAGGTCCAGAAGGACAGGTGAGCTCGCCCAGCCGCCACCCAGACCTGCCGGCCGGCGAGCTCGGGGGCGCCTCACTCCCCAAGCCCAAGCCCCCCACGGACTCCTCGACCGGCTCCCCGGCTGAGCCGCCCACCGGCCCCCCGGGCCCGAGCAAGCCGGCCCCGGGGAGCTCCTCACAGACCACCTCGGGCCAGCCCCAGGGCCGGCTCCCGACGCGAGGGGGCTCCTCCGGCCAGCAGCGCCCACGGTCCTTCGTCACCTCCTCGGGCCAGCCCCCGCTGCATGCCCAGCCCTCGAGCCCCAAGAAGCACACCAGCACCTCCTCCAGCCAGGCCACCCCCGTCGCGCAGCCCCCCAGGGAGACCGCGGATGGGCCCGGGGAGCCGGGCCCAGAGGCCCCCAGGTCGGGCGAGCAGCCCGCCAGCAGCACCTCAGCGCCCGAGCTGCCTGCGTCCTGCCAGCCCGATCCCTCGGTGGAGTTCACGTCCGAGTCCACCACGGAGGTCATGTGCAGCTGGCCCCACCTGGGACGCAGGCTCCGCTGTCTGCAGCACTGCTGGCGGCTGAAGCACCTGGCCTGCTAGGGAGGCTCAATAAAAGCCCATCCGACCAACCAGCCCTGTCTGCCGAGTCCTTGGGGGGGGGGGGGTCTCCTGATCAGGAGCTGACGCCCTGCGGCCCCACTTCACAGATGAGGAGACTGAGGCCCGGAGAGGCACAGCCACCCACCTGAGGTCTTGCCAAGGGGCTGAGCAGGATCACAAAGGAGAACTCGAGAGAGACTTGGAGTCCAAGCCCTTTGTTTGGGAGGGGACCCCAGGAAAGGACAGAAGGGGGCGGGGATGTGCGTTGGCCCCGGGAGCTCTGGGCGCAGCGCCTGAGACAGCCTGCCCACCGACCCTGCTGGGGGGGCACAGTGTCCTCCCCTCCAGCCCGCAGCCCTGCAAGCTGAACGGGCCCAGGGCCACAGGGCGCCTCCAGCAAAGGCGAGGGGCTGGCAGTTGCTCTCCGGGAAACGGAGAAGGCCGAGGGCGGCGCTCACAGGGCCTCCTGCAGCTGGCGCCTGCCTTTCTGTGTTTTGCTTTGTTGTGTCTTTAGTTAGTTTCTTATTCTTCTTTTTTTAAAGTTTATTTATTTGAGAGAGAATCCCAAGCAGGCTCCCCGTTGTCAGCACAGAGCCTGACGCGGAGCTTGAAACATGAACAGAGAAATCATGACCTGAGCCAAAACCAAGAGGCGGACGCTTAACCGACTGAGCGCCCCCCCGCCCCTGGGCGCCTCTAGTCGGTTTATTTTTTGACACCAGCATGACCCTGATCGTAAAACCAGACAGAGGCACAGGAAGGAAGGTGACCAGCCCGTTGTGTGGACAGAGACGCGAAGAGTCCAAGCAGAAAGAGCAAACTCAATCCGACAGCGCGTTGCAAGAGAATAGAACACCCCCCTATTCGAGGTGGGGTCCCCGGAAGCTGGGGGACGGGGGGGGCTGAGCAAGGAGGTGGTCTCAGCTGGGGGACGGGACCCCGAGCGGGAAGTGCACCCCGGGGTTCCGCCCCAAGGGAGGCCTGTTGTCACCTGTATCTCTGGCCTGGAGTCTCAGCCCCGCCCAAGAGGGGGCGTAAGGTCGTGGCACGTCCGGCCCCGGGGCCCCCAGCGCCCAGCTCGGTCTGCCCCTTGCGCCCAGGAGCTGCTTCTCCAAGATCCCAGCTGATCACAACCCTGGGACCCACAGGAGGGGTGTCAGGATGAACGAGGCAGTTGCTCACGAGGCTCGTGACTCCGGGGTTCTCCACGGGAGGAATGCGGCCCCAGGGGTGCCACGTCCCACAGCCCCTTCCCTGCCCCAGCGGTCCCAGCTCGTCCGCAGCTGGTGGTGGCCACTGGTGCGCGACGGGCCCCATTCATTCATTTGATCGTTCAGCAACTATTGAGCACCCACTGTATGCCAGGCCCTGTTCCAACAGTCAAGGGTAGAGTAATGGCCCAGAGAGATAAAAATGTCTGCTCCTGAGGATTTGGGGAGGTGACAATCAGCATGATAAACGCATGTCAGAGGGAGGTGAGTGTTCTGGGGAAACATGCACGGGAAGGTGGGGTTTGGGGGCAGCAAGGTCAGGGTCGGTCAGAGAATGACCTGTCTTCGGGGTGAGATTTGAGTAGAGGCATGAAGAAGATAGGAAAGCCAGGTCAGAGGGTACGAGTCTTGTGAAAGCCAGGGCAAAAGTGGGCCAGGCAGAGAGAAGAGCATGTGCAAAGGTCCTGAGGTAGGACCATGCCCAGCAGGTTAGAGGAAGAGCGGGGTGGCCAGGGTGGCTGGAGCGAATGAGTGAGGGGGGGAGAGGAGGGGAGTCTGGGGCGAGCCTGAGCACGCGGGTTCCTGGAAGGCCTGGCGAGGACTTTGGGTTTTGCTCGGGGATGCAGGCTTTGCTGGGATCGAGAGGGGGATGGAGGGAGGGATGGAGGGGAGTCATTGATGAGCCCCCGTCCTGCTGAGAGGCCCACACGGGTGGTGGGAACAGGGATCTGGGAATCTGCCTTCCCACTGGTCCAGCTGTTTGAAGCATGTGTGGTGGCCGTAGTCGGGGAAGAGGTGGCAGTGCCGGGCTCGCTCCACCTGGCATTGCCCCCTGCCATCCAGGGGCAGCGACATCGGCTCTAGAGCTGTCCCTCCAAAGACGGCCCCCGGCCACCTGGGGTCAGCTCAGCACTCGGAACAAGGACGTTTCGCCCCAGACTTGCTTCGTTTTTCACTTACACATACAGAAAAGTGTAACCAGGGACTCAGAGGTAGTGATGTGACACGGCGGTGGCCGAGTCCTTCCCTGTCCGGCTCAGGAGCCGCCACGCGGTAGTTTCTGCGGGCTCGTGTGCACCATTCCACTGTCGATGGAGTGGTCTCCAGCTTGTGGTTATTGCGACTCAAGCTGCCAGGAACATTCTAGAACCGGCCTTCGGTGAGCAGCGTCTGGTTTGGGCATACGCCTGTCGGAGATTTTCGAGTGTCTCGAGGTGGCTGGAATGAATGACCGCACAGCAGGAGGCTTAAAACTACAGACGTTTATTCTGCCACATCTGGAGGCGGACGTGGCGGTCAGGGGTGGGGCAGGACCGGGCTCCCTCCCTCCGCAGGCTCCAGGCCAAGGCCCTGTCCACCTGTCCCAACTCCTGGCGGCCCGGGCGGCCCTGGGCTGTGGCCGCGCCCCTCAGTGCCTGCCTCCCTGGCCTCGTGGTGCCGCCTCTGTCCCCATCTCACCAGGACACTTGTCACCGCGTTTAGGGCCCAGATAATCCAGGATGTCTCATCTGGAGACTCTTAGTTGCATCTGAAAAAGGCCTTTTTGCCAAATAAGGTCCTAGTCACGGGTTCCGGAGGCGAGGACTTGGCTCTCTGCTCAGCCTGCCACTGTGCGCGTACCTTCATCTGCAGCGGACGTGGCCAAACCGTACCCCGAAGTGGTCCCGCCAGCGCCCCGTGTGACCCACAGGTAACCCTGGGGGCTGTAGGACGGCCCACGGGGTCTCAGCAGCAGTGGGGGCCCAAGTCCTCCGAGGGTGAGCCCTGGCTCAGGGTCAGGGAGAGAGAAGGGCGGGTCTGGGGCAGTAATGGGGGTGTGTGTGCAGAGAATTATGAATAGTAAGAAAAGCATCGGACCAGAACCAGCATTCTGCAGGGTTCTGGGGAAAACCCTGCGGCCACTGAGGAGACAATTGTTGCCGTTGTCACCCTGTTGCAGGACAGCAAGCTTCAAACCTGCATTCTTGTTCTTTTTAATTTTTTTTTTAACATTGATTCATTTTCTTTGAGAGACAAGACAGAGTGTGGGTGGGGGAGGGGCAGAGAGAGAGGGAGACACAGAATCCAAACCAGGCTCTAGGCTCCGAGCTGTCAGCACAGAGCCCGCGGGGCTCGAACTCCCAAAGGGCGAGATCATGACCACCCAGGCACCCCGCATTTGCGTTCATTACCGTTTAATAAACCACGTGGGTTCAGAGAAGCCGCAGCCACCACCCCAGGCACCGGCCAAGGGACCCCGCTGCAGGGAAGGTCCTGACTGTCCTCGCTCGTGGTCCCTCCCGGCGGCCACGTGGGGACACGGGGAGCCGGGGATGGTAGACAGGACGACACAGCCCTGGGGCCACCCCGTTTCTGTCGTTCTCTGTGGCCACCGGGGGGGTGTGTCCGTGCGCTGGATTTGAACGTCTGTAGATTCCGGTGGAACCTTCTCTCTTTCAATTGTTCAAGGTTTGTTTTTTTAAAGCTAGAGAGGAAATCAGGACCTCAAGGGACCGTCCGCTGCGACCGAACGTGATCAGCCCTGGAAACAACGTCCCCTCGCCGAGCGGAGGGCTGCTCAGGGGTCGCGGCCGCCAGGGCGCACCCGGCACCAGTCTCTCTCCGCCGGCGGGGCCGGCTGCTCGGGGGGCTCCGGGCGCGGCTGCCCCTCGGACCGCGCCCCTCCCAGTGCCCGGCGGCGCGCACACAGCGGCAGAGGCGGAGGGACAGCCTCGGGCAGGCCTGGCAGGCTCAGCGGGGCCTCGGGTGTGGGTGCCGGTGTGCGGAACCCAGAGTGTGGGGACAGGTGTTCTAGAGGAAGGCTAGCACCCCGAGAGAAGCGGGGTGGGGGGTGGGGAGCACGGGCAGGGCCCTCTGGGTGCAGGCAATGCCAGGTGCCACCAGGGGGCGCGCAGGACCCACGCCTCCCTCCGGGGGTTCTCCAGGTTCAGTACTTGCTGGGGCGGATGGGGTCAGGTCTGGGACCCGGAGGCACGGGAAGGAGTCAGAGGAATGCAGTTCCTGTGCTCAGAGCTGCGAGGGGCTGAAAGGGTACTTGCAGAAGGGGAAACTGACGCCCGGAGAGGGGCGGGGTGCGGCCACAGGTCACCTGCAAGGTCAGGCGCTGAGCCTGAGCCCCACAGTTGAGCATCCTGTGTCCCAGAGAAACACACAACCACGGATGGTACAGAAGATCAGACGGTCCCAAGTGACGGCATAAGCCGCCCCGTCCAGGGAGAGAAGGCGAACGGGCGGCCCTTCCAGAGTGTCCCAAGGGGAGGGTTTGGAGGACACCATCCAGGCACCTCCAATTCACACGTGGCCTAGGTCTGCCCTCCTGGCCCCAGAGACTGAAGAGGGGAACGTGTCCAGGAGCACACAGGAGGGCGGGAACGGGGGCCCCGGGCGGCATGGGACGCGTGTGGCCCCCAGGGGGTGGGGGGGCATCGGACCAGGGGGAGGAGGAGGGCTGGGGCGCCCGTGAGTGCGCGTGCGCACACCGCGACAGCGTGACCACGGGTCTGGCTACCAGCACGTCCTGGCATTTTGGCAGCGTGTGTTACTGGGGTGCCCTTGTCTTAACAGAGCTCGTTAAGGTTAAATAGGAAGAAACAAGGGATGGGCACCCTGCTAACAGTGGTGTTTGAAGAAACCCAGCTGGGCATCTGGCCAGCTCTGTCAGGGGAGGGTGCGATTCTTGTTCTCTGGGTTGTGGGTTCGGGCCCCACTTCGGGTATACAGATTATTTCAAAAATGGAAGGAAGGAAGGGAGGGAGAGAGGGAGGGAGGGAGGGAGGGAGGGAGGAAGGAAGGAAGGAAGGAAGGAAGGAAGGAAGGAAGGAAGGAAGGAAGGAAGGAAGGAAGAAAAAAGGAAAGAAAGACCCAGCTGGATTGTCCTTGAGCTTCCTGGTAGCCAGGGCAAGAGGGGAAGGTGCTATATCCCAAGGTCGTGTTACACACTCTTCCTTTGGGGCCGTGCTTGTTGTGACAGTGTCTCTAAGAAAGTGAGTGTGAGGCAAAGCGAATAAAAGCAGACACAAAGGTTCTAAGAATAAAACATCTGTGAGTTTCCTGGCAGCCAGAGTGAGAGAGGAAATAAGAGTCTCTTCAGTGCATCCTCACCAGTGCCTCCTGCTCATGACAGTGGATCTGACTGTGTGCAGGGACAGCTGAGCCTGTGTGACTGGCAGCCACATGGCTGCGGTGGAAGCCGCTGGGAGCCAGGGTGAGCCGGCAAATACGCCGAGTTTGAGCCCAGTCGAGCGTGTCTGGCTGGCGGCTCAGGCGGGGCAGTGCCGGGCAGCCAGGCGCACCCGGCTGTCCTCAGCAGGGCTCCACGTTCGGGCATAGCCGGCGTGGGGCAGCAGCAGCCGGTCCTGGGTGCCGTCAGGGCTGATGAGGCGCTGGGCCGCCAGCAGGTACTCGCGCTTCAGGTCAAGCCGCGGGCAGGGGCAGCGGCCCAGCGCCCACACGTACTCCAGGGCCCGCAGCGGCCAGCGGCTCTTGTAGATGAGCTGCACTTGAACCTCATAGCGCATCTCCTGCGCTTGTTGGAGGCGGCTCAGCACCCGGGCCCTGAACACTGTGGGCAGGAGGGTGCAGAGGCTGGCTGGACGCTCCGCCCTGGGCACCCTTCGCATGCACCCCAACACCAGAGAAAGGAACTGGGGTCAGATGGAACACTGGGGGGCCCTCAGGACTGGGGAGATGGGGCTGGGGTCAGGTGAGGACTGGGATCCACAAGGGGTCAAAGTTCAGATCAGGGCAAAGGGTCATATCAAGGAGGCCAATTAGGGTAAAGTCAGATTGCGGTCAGAGGTCAGCAGAACAGGGCTCAAGTTCAGGTCAGCTAGGAGCCAGGTAAGGGTTGGGGTTAAGAATGTCTCACCGAAGTCCCCGCCGCAATAGTGGAGCAGCCGGTGCGCGCGCCCTCGAGTGTCCGGGCAGGGTGGGCAGGGGTCTGTGGGGGGTCTTCGGTAAGGGGCGCAGGCCTCACCTCCCTGCCTGCTCCCACCCGGGCCGACCCCACCTCACCGGGGGCGGGGGGCGGGGTCCTCGGGGAAACGGTAGCTGGGACCGCGGGGGGCTCAGCGGGCTGTCGGTCCACCTCCCGAGGCTGCGGCTGCCGCAGGGACCAGCCCAGGGCCTGCGCCCGCTCCTGGAAGGGGCCGTAGCGCTCCCGAGGGAGCCAGAACTCGAACTCGATGCCGGGGTTGGGCTCCTGCAGGAGGACCTGGAGGGGTGTCGCAGCTAGGGAGCCGCGCTCGACCCGACGGCCCAGCTCCCCGCCTCCCTCCCGCGTCCGGTAACCCAGCCGCCCCTACATCTCCCAGCCGCCCCCTCAGAGGCTGGCCCGCACCTGCAAGAGCAGGTCGTGGGAGGTGGGCCCGGTCGCGCGCAGCATCTCCTCCGGCCCTGCAGCGCGGGTGTAGACCACACGGGTGCCTGCCGCCTCGTAGGTCCCGGGTGGGCTGACCGCCCAGTTCCCGTTGAGCACGTAGCGCCCGTCGCCCCCTATCAGCGCTGCAAGGGAAGGGTCAGCCCGGGCTGGGACCCGCCTCCCGCCCCAGCGTCCTCCTCCCCGGCTGCAGGCTCCCCGGCTAGATCCGAGGCGGCCCGCAGGGCGCCGCCCCCTTCGGGCCCCGCGATACCCAGGTGGTTGCGGCTCCGGTGGGCTACGCGGATGTGTCTGGCGCCCTCGGGGATCAGGGTCACGTTCCAGTACCCAGCGAAGGCACCTGCGCGGGAGAAAGGAGGGCGCTGGGGCCGAGTGGGAGGGCATTTGAGGGACGATTTGAGGATTAAATGAGAAACTACGGTAAGCAGGTTAGCCAGGGTCCTGGCACCCCGAAAACGCTCGGTAAACTTTGGGAGTTAAGATTATTCTCGATTAAGTGCAGCCGGGAAGAGTTAAAACCCCATCTGTTCTGGGAAGGCGGGACCATCTAGCAGGAACCAATCATAATGAAGAGACGGAGGGGGCTGGGCCAAGGACTGCCCAGTCAGCTCGGGACTTCGCTTCCGGGCCCGAGGCTCGTTAAAGGGCCCGCTCCGGGCAAGCGGGGACGACGGAGAGAGCGGTCACCGGAGTCACGGAACACGCGTTGCACGAAAAGGCACGACTCGTTGGCGCCGCCGCAGCGGCCGCAGTGGTCTTCGCGGGCGTCCGAGCCCAGCAAACCGTCACAGCCGGCGCTCTGCAGGGGCGGGGAGGACGAGCGCGGCTTCGCGGACGGCCCTCGCCTGGACCGCCCTGGGGGCGGGGCCGGGAAAAGGGGCGGGCTCTGCAGTGAGGGGGCGGAGTGGAGGCTGACGATGGGCGGGACATGGCGGGGGCGGGGCCGGGAAAAGGGGCGGGCTCTGCAGTGAGGGGGCGGAGTGGAGGCTGACGATGGGCGGGACATGGCGGGGGCGGGGCCGGGAAAAGGGGCGGGCTCTGCAGTGAGGGGCGGAGTGGAGGCTGACGATGGGCGGGACATGGCGGGGGCGGGGCCGGGGCCGGGAAAAGGGGCGGGCTCTGCAGTGAGGGGGTGGAGCGGAGGCTGACGATGGGCGGGACGTGGCGGGGGCGGGGCTTGTGGGCGGGGCTTAGGGAAAGGGGCGGGACTCGGGAGAGAAAGAAGTGGGGTCCGAGGTCAGGGGGGCTCGGGCGGGGCCCGGCGAGGCCTTACGAGGCAGCGGCCGGCCACGCAGAGCCGCTGGGCCCCCGGGCCGCAGGGGGTGCCGTCCAGGACGCGGCCGAAGGTGTGGTAGAAGGCGTGCCCCTCGGCCAGGCAGTGAAGGTCGCACTGGTTGGGCGCTGGGGAAGGAAGGAATTGATGGAGCATCGAGGACATCTGTCAGGGCTCCGGCCTCCTCCCCTCAGGCTCGTGAGGCCCGGAGACTCAGCCAAAACCACACTTGGAGGCTGTGCTAGAGCCAGGTTGGGACTTCAGGGGTGTCTGCCTTCAGCTTCCAGGACCCTCCGAGGCAAGTACCCCCAGCCCGCGTGTACGCATGCGTGCATTCATTCATTCCTGTTAAGCCCTAACATTAGGGAGTCCATTCTTCATACTTTCGTCCTGCAAATATTCACAGCGCACCTACTACTTTCCCACACCGTTCCGGGCTCTGGGGTACAGCTGTGGGTAGAAGTCACTCAGCACATGGGCCCTGCACCCAGCATGAGCCCAGTAAAAAGTGTTCAGTGCTGGGGCGCCCGGGTGGCTCAGTCGGTTACCCGTCTGACTTTGGCTCAGGTCATGATCTCGCGGATCCTGAGTTCGAGCCCTGTGTTGGGCTCTGTGCTATCAGCACAGAGCTGGCTGCGGATCCTCTGCCCCGCCCCCCTCTCTGCCCCCTCCTCCCTCTCTCTCTCTCAAAAATAAATAAACATTAGAAAAAAAGAATTAAAAAAAAAAGAAGTCTTCAGTAGTGACTGAATCCTGAGTAGCCCGGGTGTGTCACTGGGCCTCTCCCGGACTCAGTTTCCCAACTGCCTGCAGTGGGGCACACTGGGCAGTCTGACCGCAGGCTCAAGCTTACAGCCCTGATCTGAGCTCCTCCCGGCTCCCACTTCCCTGGCCAGGCTGGCAGACCCTGGCTGGCACAGAGCCCAAGCTGGCCTTGGAGGGCCTCTGCGGGGGTGGCATCGTGGCAAAATTTCTCTAATTCTTAGGGGGAAAAAAAAACCAAAAGACAAAAACCAAAAAACCCCATGAGGCTGATGGGTGGAATCTTCTCCACTCTCAGCTTTTCTTATCTGTGTCTCTTCCACTATGGTGTCTAAAGTTGTCTGTTTCCCTTAAATCTGGAGTCACACTGCCCCGGGCACACAGTTATATAACTTGCTATTTTCAGCTAAATGCGGCAGCAATTCCTGCTACTGGGGTAAGTTTGGGAACGGCTGGCCTCTGGAGACAGCTCCAGGCAGATCCTCAGGCTGGAGTTCAGTCCCGTGCAGAACACACCCTCTATCCTGTGCCGCCGCACACCTCACACTGCCTCCCCCCTCGCTTCAACTCCTACGCATCCTTCAAAGCCCCAGGGCTGGTGCTGCCCTCTTGCCAACCTCCAGTCGCTTTCTTTCTCAGCAACCCCTTCTCCCTGCCTCCTGCGGGTCAGGAGGGGAGGCTACTCACCACCGTAGAAGGGCACCCACTGGTAAGTCTTCTGGGTGCCCAGGACAGGGCGGCCATTGTAGAGGGCACACTGAAGGTCTCGGAAGGGAATGGCCCCTGGGGGACAGTCCTGAGGACAAAGATGCACAGGCCCGATGCTGGGAGAGCCCAGGGGAGCCCAGGGGAGCCTGGCAGGGAGGCAGGTATATTTGGGGGCACGAGGCGGGAACTGGAGGCTTCCAGGCACCCCTGGGGGCCCAGGGAGGTGACAGAACTTACCGGCAAATGGCAGAGGCGGTACTCGTGAGTGTCTCCCCAGCACGTCTCTAACCTGGGGAACCTACGGGGGACAAGGTGGCCAGAGTGAGGTCAGGACCCCCAGTGACCCTCTGCAGGGCTGGCCTGCCCACCCCTGGGCCCAGCCGCCCCCACCCACATTCCAGCTGGATCAGCGGGATTAAAAGGCACAGCATGTGTGGGCAGGCAGAGGGTGCGGCCAGCAGTGGGGCGGGCTGGCGGGAGAGGAGGGGCAGCACCCCCCTCCCACCCCACCCTGTAACCCCCCTCTCTGCTCACCAGACGCAGTGCCGGCTGCGCACAGAGACAGCCCGCCCGCAAGAGCTGGAACATCGGGTCCAGGAGCCCCAGGGGGTCCACTCACCTGGGCCCTACTTGGGGAGAGAGAGGCAGCGTCAGCCCCCACCCCCTGGCCAGGTCCCCACGCCCACTGGCTCCCTGGACTCACATCCCCCCTTACCTGAGCACTGCCCCCTAAACCACAGTTCAGGAGGGTCCACAGCAGAAGGAGGGGGTGGAGTGTTCGGGAGCAGACAGGGTGCTGCCGTGGGGGTGCCAGCAGGCCAGGGTCGGAACCCCAGCTCTGTGCCAGCTGGCTGTGTGATTTGGGGCAGTAATTTAACCTCTCTGGGCCACTGTTCTTGTCTCTGAAAAGAGGGGCAATAACAGAGACCCCGTTACAGGGAAGTCTGAGGGAGCTGTCAGATCAGATAAGAAAAGCAGGTGGCACACAGCCTGCTGATGGAGAGGGAGAGTCAAAGAATTATCTGCTTTTATTGCTACTGTTTGTTGTCTTATCATGTACACAGCAGGTGTTTAATTTGTGTCTTTTATGGAAGGAATCATTCCAGGATAGTGCACAGGTATGTCTAGTGTCGGGACCCCATCACCCCCCTCCCCACCGTCACCGTGTCTACCTTCCTGTGTGGCCGGGAGCCAGCCACTCCACATCCCCAGGTCTCAGTTTCCCCATCTGTACAATGGGGACCAGCTGGACTCAGTCCAGAGCTGTATGAGGGACTCTGCAGAAGGTGCGGCTGGTGGGGGCTGGCTCGGGGGCTGAGTCCCTGGCAGAAGCCCCCGCCTCCAGGGCCACCTTGGCTCCCAGGACCGTGGTGGCAGGGAGCCCTTTGACAGGGGATCACAGGCAGGATGACCCGGCCCCCGTCCAGCCGGTGCCCTGTGATCTCATGTGCAGGGTGTGGGCCCCACCAAGGGCCGCCTGCAGAGGAAAAGGAGCCACTGATGAGGGTGACGCAGGAAAGAGGGAGGAGGCATTGGGGAGTGAGAGGACCGGGGGGGGGTAGATTTGTCTCCCCGGGCCTCAGTTTCCCCATCTGTCAGAGCAAGGTGGAGGGAAGTAACCACCTCCTGAGTCCCTTCTCAGGCCAGGGCCAGGGCGCCTGAAAGTCAGCAGTGTCCGAAGAACGGAAAGAATGAGCCGGATTCCAGGGCACTGGTCCTGTCCCAGCGGACGCTCTGGACCCTCTCGAGCCTCAGTTTCCCTAGTTCTCAGCCCCCCGCCCCGGCTCCAACATTTGGATCTGGGGCATCAGGGGCTGGGAGGCATGGTGGTGCCAGGTGCTGAGAACCTTGGGGACCACTGGGCGGGTCCCCTCCTCTGCCCAGAGCTGTGTAGCGGACTGTATCTGAGCCTGGAGTCGCGCTCCCTGGGAGAGCTGGGAGGGGGAGCCCCCTCCCACCACCCGCGCTCGGCCGAGCCCCTGGGGTGGGAGTCCACAGACGGTGCTAGAAGCGCCATCTTTGGGCTCCCGGGGACCCCTCCCGGAGGAGCAAGACACACCTCGTTTCGGCTGCGCCCCTGACTGCAGGCGTGACCCCAGGGCAAGCCGCACCTCTAGGCCTCAGTTTCCCCACGAGGGAGCGGGGATGAGCTTTCTCCCACCCTGGGGCTTGCTGCCTGGCCAGCCCCTAACCGGACCGGGCCCGGGGACGGGGAGGAGACGCCGGCCGGGATTGTGGGGGGATAGGAAGAGGGACTTACCGGCTACGTAGAGCCCAGGCGGCAAGTCCTGGCTCCCCGGGCGGCCGCAGGACAGGCGGAAGCGGCGGGGCCGCGGGGAGGGGCGGGGGGAGCCAGGAGCAGCCCCTCCCACCCGGACTCCCGGGGCGCGCCCAGGCCGGGGTCCGCCGGGGTGGCAGCCGCGTGCGCCCTCGCGCGGCGGTTGCGCGCCTCGGCGCGGATCCGCGGCAGGGGACTGCCCGGCGCGGGCCCCAGACCCTCGGAGCCGCGGCCTGCTGTCCCCGAGTCCATACCCCGGTGACCTTGGAAAGCCCAGGGCGGGGAGCCGTGCGGGAACTGACCGCCCCTGCCCACCCCCCCACCCCGGGCTGCTATTCCGGGCGCCGCGCTCAGGGCCCGGGAATGTGCGAGGACCGAGGTGGCCTGAGCCGGAGCCGCTGTCGCGTTTCCACCGACGCCCAGACCGCGTCCCCGTCCCCGCAGGGGCTCGCATTCCCGGCCGGTGCCTCCCCCGCCCCTCCCCCTAACCCTCTCTCAGGGTGACCCTCCTCAGGAACCCGGGCCGGGTTGCAGTCCCGAGGCTCTCACCCCCAGAGCAGGGCCCCAGCGCGCAGGGAGAAGCTCAGCTCGAGGGGCGGGCGTGGGGCGCGGAGAGCCCCCTCCCAGCCCTGCTAGGAGCATTCCCGGCACCGCTGTCACCAGAGGACGGGCCGCACCCTGCCCTCTGCTCCCGGGGCTGAGCAGCTGACTTGGAGCCAGACCCTCTCGGCAGGGGCGCCCCCCATGACTTGTTTTCCGTCCAGGCTGTGGGACTGGCAAGGACAGGGCCCCCCTAAGGCTCCCCACCACCCCACCCTCTCCCTGCCCAGCGGGGGCCCTCTGCTCACCCCCTCCCCTGGCCCCTTGCCGCTGCCCAGGATGCTTCCTGACGGGCTTGAGGAGGTGGGGACACCAAGCTGATGATGAGCGGACTGCCCCCCCCCTCGCTGGGCAAGCCCGGGCTCGGCTTGATTGCCCCCTCCTCCTGGAAGCAGCTGTGGGGTGTCTGGCCCTAACCACAGGGACAGGGGGTGTCGGCCCAGCTCTGCCCACCAGCCTGGAGGAGCTCAGGGCAGGGCCGCTCAATGCCATTGTTCACACACCATTTACTGAGCACGTACTATGTGCAGGTAGAGCTGTGAATAACCCAGCTACCCAGGCGGCGGGAGGCAGCCCTGGAAGTGTGGAATCCTGCCTTTGAATCAGGACACTCAGGGGAAGTAGCCCAGGCCCCCTGCAGATGGGTTTGGGGGTCGGGGAGCCCCTCACGGAGGAGGTGATCACCAGGAGGAGGGGCAGTGTGCACAGAGCCCGAGGCTGGAACCAGAGACTAAGGGACAGTCAGGAGGGCAGGGCTGGGGGGGCTGGGGGGTGGAGACGAGGTCAGAGGGGGCCAAGGGGTGGAGGCCAAGGCGATGGGAGAGGGTGCTCTGGTGGGGAGAAGCCCCCCTCCACCGCCTGCTGTCGGAACAGGGAGCTGCGAGGGGCAGCGCGTCGGGGGGGGCCGTGCGGGCGTGGGGGGCAGCTGTCTGGGAGTGGAGTGTGTAGGAGTGGCCGACAGATCCCACAGGAGCCCCGTTGGGAAGAGGTGAGGCAGGAGCTTGGCCCGAGCCACAGGGAAGGGAGGTGCCCATTTGCTGCGGGCAGGTGGAGCGGGGCGGGCAGGTGCAGAGGTCGCTTCCGGATGGGTGTGGGGTGAGACGTCTGGGGGTCACCAGCAGGGGCTGTGCCCTGTTGCAGGCGGACACGTGGGCGTCCGTGGCGCTCTGGGATGCTGAGCGCCACGGAGGCGGTCACGGGTGGGAGTGCGGACGGAGCGGAGACCGGGGCCTGTGTCCCGGGGCGGGGGTGGGGACAGCGAGGGCAGGCCTCCCGTGCTGAGCACCTACTGGGTGCGAGCGGCGCGGGGCCTGTGGGAGCAGGGAAATAACTCTGGCTTGGCTCAGGGGCTCCACCTAGTGGACAGTCGCCCTCCCTCGGATGTGCCCCGTCCCGGGAGCTCAGGCCTAGTGCTCTGCAGAGTGTGCATACAGCAGGCACCGCGTCCTATAGAAACGCATTCGGTAGTCACTTTGCTCGCAGGACTGTATACAGTAGGTACTGCACCCTGCGGGGACAGCATATTAGACACCGAGCCTTCCAAGGAGTGTATACAGCACTCTGTTCTGCGGTGGATACAGGAGTCACTGCACCCTACCAGTAGGGTACACAGCAGGCATCCGGTGCTGTAGAAAGTGCACACAGCAGCCCCTGGGGACCACAGGGAGGGTGCACAGCAGGCGCTCTGCTCTGCATGGGGGCCTAGCGCCTGGGCGCCAGGTGGGGATGGGGTGCAGCTATGGTGCCCTGGGCCCGCCCCCCGCCTTTCCCCCGGGCCCCAGCCTCCCGCCTCTGAGTCCCGGAGAAGAGGCCAGGAGCGGGGCGGGGGGGGGGGGGGCGGAGGGTGCTTGCGATTCAGACGCAGGTGTGGCTGCATCGCAGCCTCTGCCTCTCCTGGTGCCGTGGCCTCGCCCTCCAGCAGGGCCAGTGCGGTCCCTTGCCCTCGCCGCGGGCCTGGGCCGTCCCCGAGGCAGGTCCCTGCGGTTGTGGGTTGTGGGGCTCCTGCTGCCTTGTGACCCTGTGGCTTAGGAAGTGGCCACAGGCGGCTCTGGTGGCCTCCTGGCGCCCCCCAAACTCCTGTGACCCCTCGGGCCTGGCCATGTGGTCCAGGGCACTTCGGCCCCTGCGGAGACGGGAGGGGGCGCTCCTGCCACCCCTGCCCCAGAACCCTGGGTCCCTGGAGCCCCCAGGGATGAATCCTCACCCCACTTAACAGGTCGGGACACTGAGGTGGGGAGGGACCGGGACCGAGCTGCACATAGCAGCCCCCCCACCCTGCATCTGAATGGGTGAGGGAGCCACGGGAGGGGGGCTGGGGGATAAAGGGAGCTGGACAGGAGGGGGGGGGTGTTCCCAGCACAGAGAGCAGCATGTGCAAAGGCCAGGTGGCTGGAGGCCCAGGGTGAGGACCGCCTGGCGAGGAGGCCTGTGCAGCTGGAGCGGGGGGGGGGGGGGGGGGGAGTTGGAGGGGAACCAGGGGACTTCAAGGTCAGAGAGGGCGGGAGCGTGGGAAGGTTACTCACAAACGGCCCGTCATCTAAGGTTTTCGCCTCAAATCAAGAAAGTTATGCACGACGTGGTGCCACTTACAGAAGAGAAGAAATGCGCAGCGTGGACTCTGACGGGAAGTGGGAGTTATAAACCCCTGGGGTCGCCTTCGGTGACCTCTGGGCGGGGTCACGGGTGCCTGCGTTCCTGCTTGAATTTCTTGTCATCACCTCCTAATTCTGATTTCTTTAAGAACATTTTTATTTGGGGCGCCTGGGTGGCTTAGTCGGTTGAGCGTCCGACTTTCGCTTGGGTCATGATCTCGCGGTTCGTGGGTTTGAGCCCCGCGTCGGGCTCTGTGCTGACTGCCAGCTCGGAGCCTGGAGCCTGTTTCAGTCTGTGACTCCCTCTCTCTCTGACCCTCCCCTGCTCACACTGTCTCTCTCTCTCCTAGAAATAAATAAAAACATTAAAAAATTTAAAAAAAAAAAAGAACGTTTTTATTTTGGGGGCGCCTAGGGGGTTCAGTTGGTTTAGTGTCTGACTCCAGCTCAGGTCATGATCCCGGGGTTCGTGAGTTTGAGCCCCACATCGGGCTTGCCGCGGTCAACGCAGGGCCCACTCAGACCCTCTGTCCCCCTCCGTCTCTCTGTCTCACCCCTGCTTGTACTCTCTCTCTCAAGAATAAAAACATTTAAACATTTTTTAAAAAGAAAAGTTTTATTTTAGAGTAATTTTACATTTACAGGAAGTTGCAAAGATGTGGGAGAGTTTCTGTCCACCCTTTCTCATCAGTGGTGAACCCGCCCCCCCCAAGATGTCCCCGTCCCGGTCCTCAGAGCCTGCAGACATGTCACCTCATGCGGCTGGGGTGCCCCAGGGCCCAGCGTCCTCAGGAGAGGGAGGGAGGGGGTCCGAGGCAGGGCGGCTCCAAGCTGCCGGCCAGAGGATGGAGGCGGGGCCGCGGGCCAAGGATTCGGTGGCTCAAAGCCGGAAAAGGGGGGAGATGGGGTTCCCTGGGGCTCTGGGGGGGGGGGACCGCCCCTGTCCACACCCGGGTGTCAGGACCTCTGAATCCACAACATGAAGCTGATAAACACGTGATTTTTCTTTTAGTTTTTTTTTTTTAATGTTTTATTTATTTCTAGGAGAGAGAGAGACAGCGTGAGCAGGGGAGGGTCAGAGAGAGAGGGAGTCACAGACTGAAACAGGCTCCAGGCTCCGAGCTGGCGGTCAGCACAGAGCCCGACGCGGGGCCCGAACCCACGAACCGCGAGATTGTGACCCAAGCGAAAGTCGGACGCTTAACCGACTGAGCCACCCAGGCGCCCCAAACACGTGATTTTTTTAAAGCCACCAAATTTTGTGTCCTTTGTTACAGCAGCCCTAGGATACAGGTACTTTTGTCACCACTCGGAAACTGATATCGGCGGGTCGTGATGACTAACTAGTAAATCGGTAATTGCCATCACTACTGACCAAACTCCGGAGTTTCTTGGACATTCACCGTGTGCTGTTGGTTTTTTCTTTTTTTAAACCAATTTCCTTTTTCTGCCCCAGGACCTCATCCAGACCCCACATGACAATGAGCTATTTTCTCCTACTTGGTAAAAGAGACCCAAGCAGATAAAATGCGGATGCCGCCTCTGGAAATCTGGCCGGTTCTGACGCTCACACAGCACCTCGCTGGCCGCCGGAGTCGGCCGACATCCCCGAGTAGAGGTCGAGGCGGCACCCAGATGGAGAGCGGACCACCGGGAAGGTGTCCCCCTGCAGGCAGCGTCTGGGGCCAGTCTGGAGAGGGTCTGCCCGTGCGTGAGGCCACCCAGCAGGTCAGCACCCCTGGGGCCCCCAGCAGGGTCAGACACAGACCTGCGTGTTTGTGTGACAAGTCCAGTCCGGTGGGACAGAAACCAGCAGACCTGAGGACATGGCATAAATTCAGGTTGGGACGGGCCACAGGGGGATCGCAGGGTGGAGGTGGCCTCCTGGACAAGGGTGGCCCTTGCCTCGCTCCTAGCAGATGAGAAGGAGCTGCTGGGTGAAGACACGGGGATGGGGAGCATCGTGAGCACAGAGCATGGCATGTGCAAAGGCCCTGAGGCTGGGATGCGCTTGGTACGGGGTCTTGGACCGACAGCGAGGCCAGGGTGGTTGGGCTGCGGTGAGTGGGCGGAGGGGAGGGTCCGTGGGGGCGAATCAGCAGGCCTTCCTTTGAATCCCATTTGGGCCTGGAGGGCTTCTTGCCGATGGGAAGGGACTGAGTTGCTGTCCCTTGGCCCCAGGACATGCGCTGAAACCAGCTCCCAGCCCCCCCCCCCCGTTCTGCGTGCCTCCAAGGGCCGAACATTCTGTGTCCCCTGACCCAGAGCTGCCCCTGGCAGCCCCGATCCTGGGTCCCAGCCGGTCCTGAGCGAGTGCTGGGGGCCCCAGCCGTGTCTCCCGCCCCCTCCCCTCCTCTGGACCCGCCTCCCCCTCGTGTCTGCCCTGCCCTCCACCCGCGGACGGACCCTAGCGTCGCAGCTCAAAGGGCAAAGGTTGGAGCGGCCGAGCCGGCCCGGCTCTGCTCTGGGTCGGCACTGGGTGTCTACGCCCGCCCCCCCACGCCCCTCCTCACCCCTTCTTCCTCCCCCGCCCCGGGAGCCACGGCCTGGAGCACCTGCGACGGGCATTCCCGGCGGGATGGACAGGACAGTGTCCAGTGGGGGGGCCCTGGTCAAGAGGGCGTTGGTGCTCCCTCGTCTCCCTCTCGGTGCAGTCGTACTCGGTCCCTTGGGGCCCACAGGGGCCAGCGCCCGCCCTGCCCCGTCCTCCCCAGCCCCTCACTCCTGGCCTCCAGATCAACGCCTGCACCGAACCCTTGCTTCAGGCTCCACTTTTGGCCGAGCCCAGGCTGGGACGGGGAGGGGGGGTGAGGGGGACAAGCGTCTCACTTCAGCGGCCTCCGGAGGGGGTGAAGAAAGGGCACAGCGGCCTCAGAACCAAGCTGCCGGCAGCGAGCAAAGGACAAGGAGCCTCAGAGGAGGGGAGAAAAGACTGGAAGCCACAGGCGGGAGAAAACTGCCGGTGGGGGTCTGGGAGGACAGAGAGGTCAGCGCTTCTAGAAGGAGCTGGCGCCGCGCACGAGGCTGGGAGAGGCAAGGGCGCGTCTGGTCCTGGGGCGGGGGGGTCCCCGGGGGCCTGCGAGGTGGGCGCGTGCTCACAAGGTCAGGCAGAGTCCGAGGCCTTTCCTGCACCAGGAGGCAGGAAAGGGACGCAGAGGCTGGTGCTCCCCCTCCGGCACCTTCCAGAGCTGAGCCACCGCCAACCCCGTGAGCGGTCCCTTGAGCCGCCGCGGGAGGGGGTGCTGTCTCAGCAGCCCCCTCCACCTGCGGCAGGTGTTCTGCGCGAAGCTTCCCGGCTTCTCTCCCAGGAAATGTGCTGAGTCTGGGGAGTTATCTCAGGTCAGTGGGGGACGGGGGTGGGGGGAGGGAGAGTGAGCCTGTGGCCCGGAGCGTGGTGGCCTCTGGCACCTGGGCAGGGGTCGGCGTGGAGGGCCGGGCCACGCCCCGAAATGCCACAGTGCTCTGCTTATTGGGCAAACCGCCTCAGTTTGCTCCTCTGTAAAATTGGGGGTATTAGGAAGCCCCCAACGGTGTCCTTTCCTTGTGGGAGGGGGGAATCCATCCCCACCATTTTTCTGTGCCAGCAGCATCAAGCACGCACACTGTTGTGCAGCCGCCCCCACCCTCTGTCTCCAGAACCTTCCATCTCCCCAGACTGAGACCCTGTCCCCACGAAGCATGGACTCCCCGCCCCCCGCCCCACCCCCGGCTCCCACCATCTACTCTGTCTCTGCGGACAGGACGCCTCTGGGGACCCCTGGGAGTGGGGTCATGCAGGACGTGTCCTTCCGTGTCTGGCTTCCGTCACTGCACAGTGACCTCCGGGTCCGTCCACACGGTGGCCCGTGGCGGGACGTCCTGACTTTCTGAGGCTCAACAAGGCTCCGGCGCGTGGACGGACACAGCGTGTCCTTCGTACGCCTGCGGCGGCTCAGCGTGTGGCCCTCTGGCCGCTGTGAACTGTGCCGTTGTGGACGTTGACGCGTTTTGTTTTATCGTCACGTTGTTTGTGTTTCGGGCCGGCGGGGGTCGCTGCTGAGGGGCAGCCCCGGCCGCGGTGGCCACTCGGGCAGGGACGCACAGCGGGCGGCCGGGGGCGGGGGCGCCCTGCCAGGGTCTCCCCGGGGCTCAGAGGGCCCGGCCCTGCCCTGCCCAGGCTCCCGGGGCCACTGGGGCAGAAGCACGGCGGGGGGGATGCGGGTGTGGACAGCGGCTCTGGACCCAGGATCCCGGGCTTGCGTGTGCCCTCCCGAGTCTCGGTTGTCTCACCGATCACGCGGGGCTACGCGGTCGGCTGCCGGGGGGTGGGCCGCCGCTCCCCGTCCTCCCGCCCCCGCACCGGCCGGGTCCCCCCCGCCAGTCATTCTAGGAGGCCCGGGTGTCTGACTTGGGCACATGGCTGCTTAACAAATACCCGAGTGAACCCGCAGATGGAGGTGAGACACAACCCGCAGGTTACAGGGTGGCAGTGACAGATGGCCCCCAGCCGCCCACCTTCTGCCACCCTGCGCTCGGTTCCCATCGGCAGGAAACAGGCTCCCTGGATGCGGCCGTCTGGCCCCAGGTGGCTGGCACTGAGGCCGGTCCCCCCACAGAAGTACCCGAGTCTCGCTGTGTCCCACGCACTGGGGCCCCTGACAGTCCCTCACGCCCTGGTTGCCCCGTTGGACACACCAGGTGGACATGTGACAACTCAGAAGGTGTTTCCTGTCCCTGGCGTCATGACTGGGCCACATTCCGAAAACTGGTCTCTGGAAAATTCCAAGGCCTGATTCCAGCCACAGGGAGCCCTGCTAACCTCTCCCCCTTCGCTGTGTTATGTAACGTTCAGGGGTTTGTGCTGTGCGTCCAGAGGCAGCTGCCTGGACTCGAATCCAGGACCGTCCCCTCCCTGCTGTGTGAGCAACAACCTCCCCGGGCCTCAGCGTGCTCACCTGTGAAATGGGGACAAGGCCAGCTCGTGTGTCCCCGGACTTAGGTAAGACGACTTGAGAGAACACAAGGAAGGAGCCTGGAACCGAGTCCGAGGTGTGGCTCGCAGATGGGCCCCGACGGTTCGCAGGAGGGGCCGACACTGCCCACCGGCTCTTTCTCTGTCTCTCCTCGGCCGCCCCTGCCGGGAGTCGCAAACCCTTGTCTGCCCTGGGGGCCCCAGATTCTGTTCCTCCTCGCCGCCTAGTGCCCTGGATCCTGAGGCTCCCGGCCGCCCGCGGCCCTCCCGGGTCCCCGCCCCGGGCTCAGCCCCAGAGACACTGGGTTTCTTTCTCCTCTGAATCCTGCCGGGCTCCTCGGGGCCACGAGAGCCCCTCAAGCTCTCACTTCCTCTCTCCTCTCCCTGGAAAGGCCTCTGAGAGAAGGAGCCGGTCTCTCTGACCTCAGTTTCCTGCTCAGGGCAATGGGCACTTACCGCTTCACAGCCTGGCGGGAGGCGCGGGCCGGCGGAGCTCCGTTCCCATCACTGAAACTCCCGCCAGGCCGGTGCCCCCGCGCCCCCGCCCCGCACACCCGCCCCCGCGCCCCCGCCGCCCCCGCCCCGCACACCCGCCCCCGCCCCGCACACCCGCCCCCGCGCCCCCGCGCCCCCGCCCGCCCCCCCGCCCCCGCGCCCCCGCCGCCCCCGCCCCGCACACCCGCCCCCGCCGCCGCCTGGCCCCGCCCCGAGCGTCGGGCCCCGCCCCGCCCCGCCCCCTCAGCCAATAAGAGGCGCCCCGGTGGCGCGCAGCCCCCGGAACGGCGGAGGGATGGAGCCCGGGCCGCGGCCGCGGCGGCGCAGGTGCCGCCCGCCGGTCTCCGCCTTCCTGCGCGACCCGAGCTCCGGGCGCGTCTACAGGCGCGGGAAGCTGATCGGCGAGGTGCGGACCCCGGCACCACGAGTGCGCGGGGGTCCCGGGGGGCGGGGCGGGGTCTGCGCCCCCGCGAGCAGGGGTGCGCCCCCAGCTTTTACCTCTGCGCGCGCCCCGGGTCTGGCCTCGGGCTTGCGTGGGAGCCGCTCTTTGGCGCCTTGTGCCGCGGCGGTGGGTCGGTTGTGTGTCCGCGGCTGTGGGTGTGCGTTCGAGCGTTGCGGGTCCCCGCGCCTTTGTAAGAGCTCTGTCGTGTCCCCAGGCGCGGCTGCCGCGTCTGTGTTGTCTGTGTCTGCGTGTGTGCGCACGCGGTGTCGGGGTCCGCCGGCTGCGTTTCCAGATCCGGATACGTCTGGGGTCGCGGCCCTGCGTCTCCCTGCGTGTTCGTGAGGCTGCCCGTGCAGGTGCGAGGCTGTGCGCTGTGGGTCCGCTCCTCTCCTGCTGTCTGTGTGTCTGTACGCGGGAAGAGGCTGGGCCACCGGTGCGCACACCCGCGCACACCCGGCCCTGAGCGGGGACGTCTCCACTGCAGGGCGCCTTCAGCCGCTGCTACAAGCTGACCGACACGTCCACCAGCGCCGTATTTGCCCTCAAGGTGGTGCCTCGTGGTGGGGGCGGGGCCGGGCGGCTGCGCCCCCGAGGGAAGGTAGGCCCAGACCTCCACTGCCCTGGGGTCCCTGCTTCGCAGGGGTCGCCAGACAGGTTCCTGCCCTTGGGGGCGTGGTGTGCGCCCCTGGGCATGAGTACTAGGGGTCAGGTGGGGCCATGCCTGCAGGTGGAACGTGAGATCGCCCTGCACAGCCGCTTGCAGCACCGAAACATTGTAGCCTTCCACGGACACTTTGCAGACCGTGACCACGTGTACATGGTGTTGGAGTACTGCAGCCGCCAGGTGCTCTGGGGGGGGTGGGGTGTGGAGGGCGGAGAGGGAACCTGCTCCCCACCCCTCATGTCTGCAGTGCTCATCTGGGCCCACCTGTGTGTCTCTCTATACTTACCTGTCTCTGCGTCCACACCAGACCCATCTGTGCTCGTCCGTTATGTGCCTGTCTCCTCCTAGGCATGACTCACTTCTGCACACCTGAGCCCACCTGTGTCTACTAGCGCCCCATTTATTCATCTGGCCCCTCTCTTCATCTGTGGCCATGTAGGGTCACCTTAACTCCATCCAGCCCCCTGAGCACACCTGTGCCCCCCGTGCCCCCCTGTGCACCCTCCGTGCCCCCTGTGCCCCCCTGTGCGCCCTCCGTGCCCCCTGTGCCCCCCTGTGCGCCCTCCGTGCCCCCCTGTGCCCCCCGTGCGCCCTCCGTGCCCCCCCGTGGCGCCCTCCGTGCTCCCCCGTGCGCCCTCCGTGCCGGTGCTGACTGCGGTCCCCTGCAGTCACTGGCCCACGTTCTGGAGGCGCGGCAGACCCTGACGGAGCCCGAGGTGCGTTACTATCTGCGGGGCCTGGTCAGCGGCCTGCGCTACCTGCACCAGCAGCGGATTGTGCACCGCGACCTGAAGCTCAGTGAGTGGTGGGAGGGGAGCCTCGGGGGGAGGGGGAGCTGGGAAGTGGCTCCTGCCCTCATACCCCCTCGCGCCTCCCCTCTGGCAGGTAACTTCTTCCTGAACAAGAACATGGTGGTAAAGATTGGAGACCTGGGGCTGGCTGCCAGGGTGGGGCCGGGGGGCCATTGCCATAGGTACGTGAGGGGCTCCGAACAGGCTCTCTGGAGGGTGCGGGGGGGGGGCAGTTTGGCACATGGGCCCCAGTGTTCCTGAGCCCACCACTGTCCCCTCCCAGAGTGCTCTGTGGGACCCCAAACTTCCTGGCCCCAGAGGTCGTCTCCAGGCATGGGCACTCCCGCCAGTCGGACATTTGGGCTCTGGGCTGCATAATGTGAGTGGGGCCTGGGGAGCCCCGGGCTGGGGGAGGGGCAGGAGGAGCCGGGTGGGGGCGGGGGGGACAGTGTAAGTGCACACGGGGGAGGTTGCACGGGGACAGGCAGGCGTGAGCATAGGACAGAGGCGGACAGGCATGTGCGGGTGTGGGGCCGGTGGGGGCATGCGCCTCCATCGTGCGAGTGTGCGGGTGCGAACAGGGCGTGCGGGAGGGAAACAGGTTAGGGCGGGCGCAGAGGCGGGCACACGTACGTGCAGGCAGCACCCAGGCGGGTGCGGTGGATCCACAGCTGTGACGAACAAGCGGAGCGGGACGGGAGCGAGCCTGCCGACGCTGGCATCGGAAAGGTGTGCGCTGTGCGTGCCGGCGCAGGCAGGTGTGCAGACAGCTGTGTGGACAGGACTGGCCAGGTGGGAGCACGTGCAGGGCAAGTGCGGGAGAGCGGATGCGAAGCCTGCCCAGGCAGGGGGGCGTGGCCAGGTGTGCGCAGGTGTGCACAGGTAGGCGTGCGCCAACCCTGGGCACCCAGGACCGATGCAGACGGGCACTCATGCTCCCGCCCCCCACCCGGGTCAGGTACACAGCGCTGACCGGCGCCCCTCCCTTCACGGCGGCCCCCCTGGCGGAGATGTACCAGAACATCAGGGCCGGCCGCTACCCCGAGCCTGCGCACCTGTCCCCCGGCGCGCGCCGCCTCATCGCCCGCCTGCTGGCGCCCAACCCCGCCGAGCGGCCCAGCCTGGACCACCTGCTGCAGGATGACTTCTTCACACAGGTGCGGCCGCCCCGGGTGTCGGGGGGCGTCGGGGCTCGGGGGCCAGGTGGCCCGCACCGCGTGCCGACCCCCCGCGCCCCCCTCCAAAGGGCTTCACTCCGGAGCGGCTGCCGGCCCACTGCTGCCACCGCGCGCCCGTCTTCACCAGGCCCCAGCCTCTGCGCAGGCTCGTCCGGAGGGTGGGCCAGCTGCTGCTGGCCCAGCGCCGGCCTCCCTGTGAGTACCGCCCCCCCACCCCTGCCCCTGGCTGCCCGCCGCTCACCCTTTCCGCTGCTCCGCACGCCCCGTCTGCACGGGGGCCGGGCTCTGCCCCCCAAACTCCTCGTGCCCCCCTCAGGCCCCTGCAGTCCTAACGAGGCGTCAGATCCAGGAGGAGGAGGTTCGGACCCTGACTCGGTGGAGTGGGGCGGTGAGGTGAGGGCTCAGGGCAGGGGCGCGGGGGGGCGGGTGGAACGCATTCTCACAGCAAGACTGGGCAGAGGGGAAAGCTGGGCAGGGTCTTCAGATCCAGGAGGCTGGGGCCCCTCCCCCAGCTCAGGGCGCCTCTGTCACCCCCACTCCTTCCTCCCCAGGCCTCCCTGTTGGACAGAGAGGCTCCCCGCCCTGAAGTCCCCGTCTACCTGCTCACCCAGGGCACCCTCCGGAGTGACCCAGCAGGTGAGCGGACACTCCATCCCCGGCTGGGGCTGCTGGTGGGGACTGAGGGTGGGGGGGTGGGGGCGGGACTGGGGCCTGCCGGGGTCATGGTCCCTCTCTTGGCCTCAACTTTCCCACCTGTAAAAATGGGAATGATGTCCAGACTCTTTCTGGGCTTAAAATAAGACTTATCCAGATTTGAGAGTTTAGGGACAGGCTGGTGGGAGGGGCCCCTCATGGGGGGGGGTGGCCAGGCTTATCTGTCCCTCCTCCATGCCCCCCACATAGATCTGTCTCCCCAGGCCCCAAGGGGAGCCAGAGGCAGGAGCCAGAGGCAGCCGTCAGGAACGTGCTGCTCTTTCTGGATCCTGGCCTCCCAGGTAGGAGCCCAACAGACCCCACAGGGACCAGCTTCCTCTTCACGCCCGAGGACAGGTGCCTTGATCTGTCTGGGGGTCCCCCTGGATATGCTGGGGCTCCGCTGGGGGGCAGAGCTGAGGGAGGCGTCAGGGCACAGTGATACCCACCGCGTGCGCCCCTCCTCGGCCACTGGCCTCGGAGCCTTTTCTTTCTCTAGGGTCCCTTGGGTTCCGCTTAGTCTTTGGTTTCACGCCCGCCCCCTGGCGACCGAAGCGCAGAAGGACCGTGGCCTTTGCGGCTCCTTCAGCAGCTGGAGCCAAGTCTGGTCAAATGTCTTCAGGAAAGAGTGAAAGATAATTTGGGGTTTGCAGGGACGGCGGCCCCGAGAGCGCTGCGCCGCTCAGCCGGCTCCCGCGGCCGCCGGACCTCGGCGTTTTCGCTGGTGGCCTTTTTTCTCCCGGGACCCCATCCAGGATCCCATAGGCCGTTGAGCAGTGTGTGTTTAACACGGCTGTTTTTGGTTTTGGTTTTGTTTTAAATGAAATACAGGAAAGCCGGGAGTGTCTGGGCGTCCCTGGGTCCTCTCAGGGCGGCTGGGGCTCCCCAGCCCGGGTCCCCCCCACCCTGCGCCTCCACCGCCCCCCCCAGGCCCTGCTGAGACCCCTCGCTCACTTCCCTTCTCCGTGCCCAGCCCCGCAGGACCCCCCGGGACAGCAGCGGCCGGTCCTCTGGGTCCCCAGGTGGGTGGACTATTCCAGCAAGTACGGCTTCGGCTACCAGCTGTCGGACGGGGGCAGCGGTGTTCTGCTCCGGGACGGCACGCACATGGCCCTGCGCCCCCCGGGGGAGTAAGTCTTGGGCCTCCTGTGCCCCCCTCCGCCTTTCCTCAGTCTTTCTTCAAGGGTTTATGATACACCTCCTGTGGGCACTTCCTGCCTGACCGCTCTGGGGGGATGGAGGAGGTGACTCTGCCACCTGGTTGTGGAGGGGATTTCTGAAGAAGCGACATTCAGGCGAGGCATGAAAGATGAGGAGGAGCCTGTCGGGAACAGCATCTGAGGCACTGGGAACAGCCTGTGCAAAGCTCCTGACACGGGACCCAGGGCAGTGGGTTGAGGGAGAGTGAGACGGGGACACAGGGAGGCTGTGAAGTCAGTGACCTTCAAGTTGCGGTTGGAACGGGTCCATCTGACATGCCCTTCCTGGCAGGAGTGACCTAGGGAGGCAGCTGGGCTGGTCAGGTAGGGACAGGCAGTGGCCCGGGCGGTGGAGGGTTGCCGGGGGCTGGGATCGGAGCTTCGTCGCCGGCCGGAAGGTGGGAGCAGCCATGAGGCAGGATGGGAAGAGGGTTTGGGGACGGGTCACGGTCTCAGTGAAGACGCGCTGAGTCCTGGGCTCCGTGAGGGGCAGGGCTGCGGGTATGGACAGAGGTGGGTCCTGAGGAGCTGGTCGCCGGATCCCCATCCCAGGGGGTGTGGCTGGTGGGAAGGTGTCGTCAGGCCTCAGGGGCCCAGGATCAAGGCTGTGGCGGCCAGCACTGCCCGGTACCCCCTCCCCAGCCGAGTCTGCTATGCGTCTGCGCGGGGGAAGCTGGAAACGTTCGCCCCGAGGGCCGTGCCCAGCCCGCTGGGCGCCAAGCTGGCGGTCCTCCGGCTCTTTGCACGCTGCATGCAGCAGCGGCTGCGAGAGGTGAGGGCGGGGTGGGGCTGGGCGGGCCCCTGGGGACACAGCCGCCCTTGAGGCCCACAGGCTGGGTCTGTCCCCGCAGGAGGGCCGGCCCAAGCCCGCCCCCGCCCCCGCGCCCGGCCTCTGCCTGCTGCGCTTCCTGGTGTCCGAGCGGGTTTTGCTGCTACTTCTCAGCGACGGGACGGTGCAGGTGAGTGCGTGGGTGGCCGTCGTCCTCAGTGGCCGGCAGGCGCTGTCGGGCGCGTGGCTGGAAGCAGCCGGCCTTGGCGGGCCGGGGGTATTGACCTCCAAGTACAAAAGTGACAAAACCGAAAATGTGTGTCAGTGCTGCACAGTGCAGCTCGGGGTCATCTCGTGTGGTTACGTTCCCAGCTGCCAGAACGTTGTTTCCCTGGAAAGTCATTTCTAGGTCTCACACCTCCTGGCCAGTCCCCAGACGCCACAGGCAGTAGTGTACAGTGCTTTCCTTGTTATTCTTTAAAGTTTTTTTTAAGGTTTTATTTTTGAGAGAGAGAGACAGAGTGCGAAGGGAGGGTCGGAGAGAGAGGGAGACACAGAATCTGAAGCAGGCTCCAAGCTCTGAGCTGTCAGCACAGAGCGTGACATGGGCCTCGAACCCATGAACCGTGAGATCATGACCTGAGCCAGAGTCCGACGCTCAACCAGCTGAGCCGCCCAGGCGCCCCTGCTTTCATCGTTATTTTTAAAAATTAGGATTTTTTTTGCCAGGAACCCCTCCCTGCCTCTTCAGACTAAAGTGCCGCTAGTGCTCACAATGACCGGGGCGGGGCCGCAGCTAGGGGGGCCGGTTCACCCGGGTCACAGGCTGACGAGCGAGGGCCTCACTGGGTTGCCCCACACTGGGTTGCCCCATCGGGACAGCAGGGCCCCTGGGCCTGTTCCCTGAGCTGCTGGGGGTGGGGCAGCCGCGGAGACCCAGGGCAGGGGGCTGCTCTGGGACTGCCAGGGCGGGGTAGGCCCCGGGGGCCCTCTCTCCTTGACCTTGACCTTGCTCCTCTTGCTTTGGCAGGTGAGCTGCCGTGGAGACGAGGCTCACCTGGTCCTGAGTGGCCGGGGTCAGGAGCTGCTGCTCACGGTCTGGGGACGCAGCCATAGCAGCACCGTGTACCCCCTGGGCGCCCTGGGGGACTCCGGCTGCGCCCCGGCCACCCGCCAGCACCTGCTCCACGCTCTTCACATGCTGCAGAGCATCTAGCGCCCCCTGCAGGGGGTGGCAGGGACCCTGGCTCCATTCTCCCCCGGGGGGGGGGGGGGGATCCCTGGGGACAGCTTAGGGTAGCACGGAAGGGGAGGCTTGCTCTGGGTCACGACTGTCAACCCAGACTTTTGTTTTCATTAAAGAAAACTTGACTCCCTAGCCTGCTGTCCGCCTCTCTGTTGGACTGGAGACGTGTCATGACCTGTTAGTGGAGGGGACACTTAGAGTAGCCTGTTCCCAGCCTGCTCCTCTCTGGCGCACACAGATGGGCCAGATCTCCACCAACACGGAAATCCACAGCGGAGCGGGGTTGTGCCATGACTGGAGAGCTGAGGCACGTGACCTTTGCTCGGAAGCTGGTGGCCTGACCTCTCCGGGGCTGGCGTCCTGTGACAACCTGGGGAGGTGTGCGGCCAGGGCTGGCCGACGACGGGGCTACATGCAGCGTATTCTCACAGGGACACGAATTCCAGGAAGGACCGGGCAGCCAGCAAACAGCCCAGGGACAGCTGAGATTTGAGACCAGGGGCTTGGGGAGGCCAGCTGCTCCCTAACACCCACGCTGGGAGACGGGTTTGTTTTTAATGTTTTTAATTATTTTTGAGAGAGTGCAAGTGGGGGAGGAGCAGAGAGAAAGGGAGACACAGAATCTGAAGCAGCTCCAGGCTCTAAGCTGTCAGCACAGAGCCCGACGTGGGGCTTGAACCCATGAACTTCGAGATCATGACCTGAGCCCAAGTGACACGCTTAACTGACTGAGCCACCCGGGCGCCCCGTATAGTTTTGTTGTTTAAAATGCCCTCACCCGGGGCGCCTGGGTGGCTTAGTCGGTTAAGCGTCCAACTTTCGCTTAGGTCATGATCTCACGGTTTGTGGGTTCGAGCCCCGCGTCGGGCTCTGTGCTGACTGCCAGCTGGGAGCCTGGAGCCTGTTTCAGTCTGTGACTCCCTCTCTCTCTGACCCTCCCCTGCTCACGCTGTCTCTCTCTCTCTCCTAGAAATAAATAAAAATATTAAAAATAAAATAAAATAAAATGCCCTCACCCTACATCCAGGTGGCCAACAGACACATGAAACGATGCTCAGCATCCCTCCTCATCAGGGAAATACAAACCAAAACCACACTGAGATACCACCTCACGCCAGCCAGAGTGGCTAAAATGAGCAAATCAGAGAACTCTAGATGCTGGCGAGGACGTGGAGAAATGGGCACCCTCCTACACTGTTGGTGGGAATGTAAACTGGGGCAGCCCCTCTGGAAAACAGTGTGGAGGTTCCTCAGGAAACTAACACTAGAACTCCCCTATGGCCCAGCAATGGCACCGCTAGGAGTTTACCCAAGGGACACAGGAGTGCTGATGCACAGGGGCACGTGTACCCCAATGTTCACAGCAGCACTCTCCACAATAGCTAAAACATGGAAAGAGCCTAAGTGTCCATCAGTGGACGAATGGATCAAGATGTGGTTCATCTATACGATGGAATACTGCATGGCAATGAGAAAGAATGAAATCTGGCCTGTGTAGCAACATGGATGGACCTTGAGGGTGTCATGCTGAGCGAGGTAAGTCAGGCAGAGAAGGACAGATACCATATGTTTGCACGTATAGGAGGATTAGGAGGAACTTAACGGAGAACTGTGGGGGAGAAGAAGGGGGGAAACGGGGGGAGAGGGAGGGAGGCAAACCATGAGAGACTCTCAAATGCTGAGACCAAACTGAGGACTCATGGGTGTGGGGGGAGGGGGGAGATGGGCACGGGGGAGGGCACTTGTGGGGATGAGCACTGGGTGTTGTATGGAAACCAACATGACAATAAACTACTTGTAAAAAAATAAATAAATAAAAATAAAACGCCCTCACCCTTTAGAGAGTCTTTCTCGGGGGAGGGGCGTTCCTGCCCCCAGGGACCCCGGGCTGTGTGTGGGGTCCGTGGCTGTCACACGGGAGGGGGGTGATGGCTGCTGTGGGCATCGAGGGGGCGGGGCCAGGGACTGCTCCGCCCCTTTGTCCCCAGTGCTGGGGAGGGACCTGCTTTAGAGAGAGAAACTGAAATATTCACAGGCCTGAGGCTTTACTTTTATTGGAATCAGGGAAACAAGGAATAAAGATGAAAAGCGACGTCGTGGGTGGAGGGGTGGCTTCCGGTGCCCCCGCCGCGCCTCGCCCGCAGCACGAGCCCCTCGCGTCCCTGTCATTGTCCCTCGGTGGCGCCCGCGCCATGTCGTCAGGAGACAGGACGGGGCTGGGGGTGGCTCTCAGGCGGAGGGACCCCGCGCTGCGGTGCCCCTGCAGGCGCCGGAGCGCCCCGGACACCCTGCGCCCTGTCACTGCGGAACCGCTTACTGTCGATTCCAGAAGTGTACCGTGGATGCCGTCTGCGTGCGACCAACTGCACCCCGGCAGAGCAGCCGCCTTCCTGGGGGTCACGGGGCTCCCACACTTCGGTGTCTCCGGAGGAGGAGGCGGCCACCAGTGTGCCCTTGCTTTCCCTCAACCACGTGCCTGGACGCCTTTCTGCACCTGCGTCCGCGCCCGCTTCCGGTGCGAGAGGAAAGCTGGCTTTTAGGACAGGGGTGGGGAGGGGGAGAAGGGAGAGCTGGGGGGCGGGGGAGCCCGCACGCCTCGTGTGGCCTGCGTGGGAGGGGGGCTTCCGGGCACCAGAGGGCCAGGAGCCAGAAGAGCGCGGGGATCTGGGAGGGAAGGGTGTGGGCGGGAGAGGAGCTGGCGAGGGAGACAGAAAACACTGGAAATATGCGTCCTGCTCTTTTTGTCCTTATATTATTAGTAGTAATTTTGATGTGAAATTTACATAACATGCAATTAATCATTTTATTTTTTTATTTTTAATGTTTATCTTTGAGAGAGAGAGAGAGAGAGAAATGTGAGCAGGGGAGGGTCAGAGAGAGAGGAAGATACAGAATCCGAAGCAGCTCCAGGCTCTGAGCTGGCAGCACAGAGCCCGACGCGGGGCTCGAACCCACCAACTGTGAGATCATGACCTGAGCCGAAGTTCGGGGCTTAACTGACTGAACCACCAAGAGGTTATGCAATTTACCGTTTTAAAGTGCACAACTCAGGAGCGTCTGGGAGGCTCAGTCTGCTAGGCGTCTGACTCTCGATTTCAGCTCAGGTCATGATCTCATGGTTCTCGAGATCAAGCCCCACGTGGCTGGGCTTTGCTCTGACAGCGTGGAGCCTGCTTGGGGTTCTCTCTCTCTCTCTCTCTTAAAATAAAATAAACTTAAAGTGTACAAATTAGTGGCATTGAGTGCATTCACAATGTGAATCAACCAGCACTTCTATCTAGTTCCAGAATATTCCATGAGCACAAAAGGAAACTCCACCCCCTTTAGCAGTCACCTCCCCCAGCCCCCCGCCCCCATGAGCCCCCTCCCGCCCGGCGAGGAGCCTGTTCCGGACGCGTCACGCACGCGGACTCACACCCGCGGGGCCTCCCGTGTCTGGTTCCCGCCCTGAGCGTCGTGTGTTCGGGGCCCGTCCGCCGGGCGGCGGGTGGGGGCGCCTCGCTCGTGCTCGCGGCCGAGGGACGTGCGCGTGCGCGGTGGACACGGTCCTCTGTGGACGTGCCGTGTGCGGCGGACACACTGTGATTGTGCCCTTCATCTGTGGGTGGCTTCGTGTTACAAATGACAGAAACCCCTCCCCGCGTAAAGCACCGGCTGGCAGTGCTGAAGCGGTCAGGAGGCGGACACAGGCGGCGCCGGGGCTCCGACGAAGGAAAAGGGCTCCGTCTGTCTCTGCCTTTCTCCGTCTCCTGTGCTACAATCTTTGGTTTTGACTTCACTCCTTAGCGGGCTCTGTGGCACGGCGACACGGCGGCGACACGGCGGTGACAGGGCGACACGGCGGCGACACGGCGGCGACACGGCGGCGACAGGGCGACACGGCGGCGACAGGGCGACACGGCGGTGACAGGGCGACACGGCGGTGACAGGGCGGCGCCTGGCAAGGGTTGGCGGACTGGGGGGAACGTGTCGCCAGACTCCCCCGTCCATTCAGGCAAAAGTCCCGGGTGGGGGCCTGCCCCTCCCCCAGCCAACTCACCCGGACGGGGAGGGTCCCGGCGGAGGGGGAGGGGTGCGGGCCGTCCCGGTCCCCCGGTCCCGTCACGGTGCCGGGGCGTGTGTCCCGCCAGCGGATGGCCTGGGGGGGTGCTCGGCAGCCCCAGGGTCCCGGCGTCCGCACGCCTGGGCCACGACAGACGCAGGGGTCCGCCTGGCGTTCTCCGGGGTCGCCGGCGCCGCGCAGGGGCCCCCGCCCCCGGCAGCCCCCCCAGGCCGCCTGCGCGCGGGTCCTCGGGCCCGGCTGAGCCCGGGACCAGGCCGCCGCCGAGCTGTCCGGAACCTCAGGAGACCCCGACCGGGGCCCGGCGCCCTCGGCCCGCACCCGCCCACCCGGCACAGCGCCCGGCCGGCCCAAGCCTCCTCCCCGCCCCCACGCTGAGAGCTTCTGGAGCCTTCTTCGGCCTGCGTAACTGTACCTCAAGAAGTAAGTCATTAGCGACCCTTGCGCGTGGAGGCTTGCAAAGGCCGGGGCTTCAAGAAATGGCAGCGGAGGCAAGCCAGGGGGCCACCCCGGAGGGGACGCTTACCTCAGAGGGATGCCGGGAACTCGGCTTCCTCCGCGCCTCGTTCCCATTGGCCTGCGGGAGCGCGCGATGCGACCCCTCCTCCAATCACCGGCGGGCAGGGCGGGGCCGCACAGCCAGGCCCACGTGATTGGCTGCTGCTGAGGCAACCGTGTGTGACGTCACAGGCCTTTGCAGGGCGCGTGTCCTGGACGCCGGCCTCGGGTTCCCCACCTGCTCTCCTCCACGTGACTCCCCTTGGGGTCGGGGCTTCTCTTCCCCCCACGAGGAAACTGAGGCACACGGGTGACCTCCGTATGTCACTGCTGTAGGCACGTCCACTCGGCGCCCCCCAAACGAGGAAGTTTTAAAATCCTGGTGGCTCCAGGGGCGCCTGGGGGGCTCGGTTGAGTGTCCGACTTCGCTCAGGTCATGATCTCACGGTTCGTGGGTTCGAGCCCCGCGTCGGGCTCTGTGCTGCCAGCTCAGAGCCTGGAGCTGCTTCGGATTCTGTATCTTCC